GCCGCCCCTGCTGGCGAGCCTAGCGCGCCAGCTCGACCTCCTTCCTCCACCTCCTCCTTATCCTCCTCCCCCTACTGATTCTCATCCTCCTCCTCCTCCTCCTCCTCTTCCTCCTCCTCCTCTTCCTCCTCCTTATCCTCCTCCTCCTCCTCCATCCCTTCCCCTCCACCCCCCTGGGCTCCCACCATGGCGGGGGGGGGGGGCACCGCTGCCACGTGCGTTGCGTCCATCGCCTGCGCCCTCTCCAGCGCCACCTGCAGAGCCGCGGCGTCTCCTGTGAAGGCAACCGCCGCAAGATCCGCGCGGCGCGGATTCCGAGCTGCCGAGCTCCTCATCAACCTCCCCTACTTCCTCCTCCTCCACCCGCCTCCTCTTCCTCCTCCTCCTCTTCCTCCTCCTCCTCCTCCTCCCCTCCTCCTCCTCTCCTCCTCCTCCTCCTCCCTCCTCCCCTCATTCTCCTTCTCCTCCTTGTCCTCCTCCTCCTCATCCTCCTCCTCCTCCTCCTCCTCCTCCTCCTCCTCCTCCACCCTCCTCCCCCCTTCTCCTCCTCCTCTCTTCCTCCTCCACCTGCTCCTCCCTCCTCCTGCTCCTCCTCCACCTCCTCGTCCTCCTCCTCCTCCTCCTCCTCCCTCCTCCTCCTCCTCTCCTCCTCCTCCTGCTCTCCTCCTCCTCCTCCTCCTCCGCCTCCTCCACCTCCTCCTCCTCCTCCCTCCTCCTCCTCCTCCTCCTCTACTCCTCCTCCTCCTCCTCCTCCTCCTCCTCCTCCTCCTCCTCCTCCTCCTCCTCCTCCTCCTCCTCCTCGTCCTCCTCGTCCTCCTCGTCCTCCTCGTCCTCCTCGTCCTCCTCGTCCTCCTCGTCCTGCTCCTCCTCCTCGTCCTCCTCGTCCTCCTTCGCCTCCTCCTCCTGCTCCCTCTCCTGCTCGTTTCCTCCTCCTCCTCCTCCTCCTCCTCCTCCTCCTCCTCCTTCTCATCATGATCATCAGCAGCAGCAGCATCATCAGCAGCAGCATCATCATCAGCAGCATCATCATCAGCATCACCACCATCATCATCATCATCATCATCATCATCATCATCATCATCATCATCATCATCATCATCATCATCATCATCATCATAGGCATCGACATCATCATCAGCACCAGCAGCATCAGCATAATCATCAGCATCATCACCACAACCACCACCAACATCATCATCAGCAGCAGTCGTCATCATCATCATCAAAATCATCATCACCATCAGCATCATCATCACAATAATCGTCAGCATCATCATCATCATCATCATCAGCCTCGTCAGCACCATCAGCATCATCATCATCAGCATCACCCTCACCAGCATCATCATCAGTAGCAGCATCATCATCGTGATGGTCATTATCATCATCATCATCAGCAGCAGCATCATCAGCGTCATCATCAATATCGCCATCATCATCATCAGCAGCATCAGCACCATCATCAGCATCCTCATCATCAGCATCATCCTCACCACCGGTATCAACAACCACATCGTCACCACCATCATCGTCATCGTCATCGTCATCGTCATGATCATCATCATCATCATCATGATGAGCAGCAGCATCATCAGTGTCATCGTCAGCATCGCCATCATCATCATCAGCAGCAGCATCATCATCAGCATCATCACCATCACCATTATCAACATCATCATCAGCATCACCATCATCATCAGCATCATCATCCTGATCACCATCATCATAACCCTCATCATCATCAGCAGCAGCAGCAGCACCATCATGAGCATCATCATAATCTGCGTTAGCAGCAGCAGCAGCATCATCATCATCATCATCATCATCATCAGTATCATCATTATCATAATCATCAGCAGTAGCAGCAGCATCATCATCATCATCATCATCATCATCAACAACATCAGCCTCATCATATCCATCTCATTCTTCATACACATAATTTTCCTCAGAATCCTCAGCATCATCGACAGCATCAGCATGCTCATCATAATCAGCATCAGCATCAGCATCATCACCAAATACATCATCACCATCGTAAGCATCGCCATCCGCTTCAACGTCAACATCACGATCGCAATGACAAGTATCATCATCATCATCATCATCATCATCTTCATCATCATCATCATCAGCACCATCCGTATTATGGCCATCATCATCAGCATACGTATCATCATCATCATCATCAGCATCATCATCATCATCATCATCATCATCATAGTCAACATCAGAGTCAGAATCATCATCAGCATCGTCGCAGTCGTCATCGTCATCATCATCATCATCATCATCATCATCATCATCATCATCATCACCCTCGTCATCATCATCATCATCATCATCATCATCATCATCATCATCATCATCATCATCCGCATCGTCATCCTCATCATCATCATCATCAGCATCAGTCCAAGCATCATCATAATCATCAGCCGCATCAGCGTCATCATCATCAGCATCATTAGCATAGGCAGAAACATCATCATCATCATCATCAGAATCATCATCAAAAGCATCATCGGCATCATCATCAGCATCATCATCACCAGCGGCACCAGCATCATCATCATCAGCAGCAGCAAAAGCATCAACATCATCAGCAACCGATCACCATCATCAGCAGCATCGCAATCAGCATCGTAAACACCATCAGCACCATCATCATCAGCAACAACAGCATTCGCATCAGCATCAGCATCATCACCAACCTCAGCATCAGCATCATCAGCATCATCAGCAGCATCAGCATCATTTTCAGCAGCATCAGCATCATGATCATAATCATGATCAGCATCAGAAACATCACCATCATCAGCATCATCATTACCATCATAAGCATCATCATCAGCAGCAGCATCGTCATCTTCGTCGTAATCAGCATCACCGTCATCATCACCATCATGATCATCAACCTCATCATCAGCATCAGCATCTCCATCATCATAATAATCATCATCATCATCAGCAGCAGCATAACCAACAGCATAGCATCATCAGCAGCAGACTCATCAGCATCATCATCATCATCATCATCATCATCATCATCATCATCAGTATCGTCATCACCATCATCAGCAGCATGATCAGCAGCGTCATTATCGTCATCATAGTAATCATCAGCATCAGCAGCAACATCCTAACCATTATAATCATCATCAGCATCATCATCCTTTTCCTCATCCTCATCCTCATCCTCATTACCATCATCATCCTCATCATCATCCTCATCATCCTCATCCTCATCCACATCATCATCATGATCACCACCATCATCATCATCATCATCCCTCCTCCTCCTCCTTCTCCACCCCCCTCCTCCTCCTCCTCCTGCCCCATCGATATCCCACTCACAACAAATTAGACAACTTCATATAAGATGAAAGACTGACTGCACTGCTGAAACTCAGACTCAACAAGTGGCCTGTCTAGGTCCAAGGATGCCTACAGCACGACTTGGCTATCTGCTCCGTGATGCGAAAGGCACCCGCTTCTGCACCCCCTTCCTCTACTCCTCCTCCTCCTCCTTCTCCTCTTCCCTCTCCGCCCCTCTTCCTTGTGAGCAGCTCCTGCCTGTCGGGCAGCCAGACGAAGTCGCTGGGGCAAGCCGGCGTGTCGCGTGAGACACCCCTGCCGCTTACGAGCTGGAAGCTCCAGTGCCTCAGCAGTGGCAACGATGCGAGGTTGGTTTCAAAACGGTGTTCAAAGACATCGGACAGGTACACAGATGGCGCGCGGGCTCGCTTTCATTCAAGGGGGCTCTCGTCTTGGCGCCGCACTCGCTCGCCTTTAAACCACAGCAGTGATGCCGACGAAGGGAGAAGTGCGTTCCAAGAGGGGTTCTCGCCTTGGCGCCGCGCACACTCGCCATGGCGAACTCAACAACTGCGCGTATGGAGGGCAGTCCTGTTTCAACACGAGGCCTTCGCCCGACACTCTTCAGCACGTACTTCTGCGAGCGTGCAGATGTGCAACCACAGCACGGATGGAGGGCGGCTCCTTGTTCAAGAACGGGCCTCCCGCTTGTAGAAAGAGCTAGAGTAGGAGCTCGATCACCAGAAACCTTCCCCAAGAAACCCAACCCTGAGACCCCAGGACGTCCGTGCATTTCTGGTGTGGGAACGTCACGCTTTCCGTAGTAAAAACATCGAAACCCACGAAACCCAGGGCACCTTGGAGCCAAGCATGGTGTTTCTTGGCATGGGTTTCCCCTGTAGCCTTGCCGGCCAGAAGTCGAACAGCTGGAACAGCTGCGCTGACAGGAGGGGTGGGTCTCATCTCGAAAGCGGGGCTGCCGCTGGCTACTTCTCTGAACCTGCTGCCGCCATCCTAGCTCGAGGGTTGGAGGGCATGTGATCCTCAGTGCGCCATATCCTCACACACCCACTTCGCGCCTCACAGCAGACAGGACCGCTAGCTGTTACCCAACCATTTCCAATCTCTGCGCTTTCCGTTTACCGACGCGTGCGCACTCACCGTATGACAGAAGCAGCGCGGCCAGTGGCATGGGACTCCACCCTCTCTACGGCAGCACAAAAAGGGGGCTCCCGCCCGAAGTGCGGGCGCCCACGGGGGCGCACGTCTTGGAGGGGGGGCCAACAGAGAAATGCTTCGGTGTACTCTGGTCCTCCTCCTCATCCTCCTGATTTTCCTCCTCCTCCTCCTTCTCCTCCTCCTCCTCCTCCCTCCTCCTCCTGATCCCTCCTCCTCCTCCTCTCCTCCTCCTCCTCCCTCCTCCTCTCCCCTCCTCCTCCTCTCCTCCTCCTCTCCACCTCCTCCTCCTCCTCCTCCTCCTGATCCTCCTCCTCCTCCTCCCCCTCTTCCCCCTCCCTCCTCCTCCTCATCCTCATCCATCCTCCTCCTCCTCCTCCTCCTCCTTTTCCTCCCTGCTCCCCTCCCTGCTCCCTCCTCCCTCCTCCTCCTCCTCCCGCCTAATCCGCATCCTCCTCCTATCCTCCTCCTCCTCCTCCTCCCTCCTCTCCTCCTCCTCCTCTCCTCCTCTCCTCCTCCTCCTCCTCCTCCTCCTCCTCCTCCTCCTCTCATCATCATCATCATCATCATCATCATCATCATCATCATCATCATCATCATCATCATCATCATCATCATCATCATCATCATCATAATATTATCATCATCATCATCAGCAGCATCATCATCATCATCAGCATCATCAGCATCATCATCATCACCACCAGCATCATCATCATCATCAGCATCATCATCATCACCAGCATCATCATCATCATCGTCCTCATCATCGTCATCATCATCATCAGCATCATCATCATCATCATCATCATCATCATCATCATCATCATCATCATCATCATATTCAGCATCATCATCATCATCATCATCATCATCATCATCGTCGTCGTCATCGTCATCATCATCAGCAGCAGCATCATTATCATCGTCATCATCATCACCATCATCATCAGCAGCAGCATCAGCAGCATCGTCTTCTTCTTCATCATCAGCAGCAGTAGCATCATCGCCATCCGCATCATCGTTATCATCATCATCATCATTATAATCGTAATCCCCATACGCATCATGAGCATCATCAGCATCAGCAACAGCATCATCGTCATCAGAATCGTAATCATCATCAATGTCGTCATCATTATCATCATCTTCATCATCATCATCATCGTCATGATCATCATCATGATCATCAGCTTCATCATCATCAGCATCATCGTCATCGCCATCGTCATCATCACCATCACCATCACCGCCACCACCTGCAGTATCATCATCATCATCATCATCATCATCATCATGATCATGATCATCATCATCAGCATCATCACCATCATCATCAGCAGCCGTATCATCATCAGCAGCATCAGCAACAGCATCAGTATCATCATCATCCGCATCATTGCGAGTATCATCAGTAGTACCATCATCATGATCATAGCCATCATCATCATCAGCATCATCATGACCGTCATCAGCATCATCACCATCATCATCATCATCACCAGGGTCATCATCATCATCATCATCATCATCATCATCATCATCATCATCATCATCGGCATCAGCTTCATCATCATCAGCAGCAGCAGCAGCATCCTCATCCTCATCCTCATCCTCATCCTCATCCTCATCCTCCTCATCATCGCCATCAGAATCGTCATCATCATGATCATCATCAGCATCATTGTCATCAGCATTGTATTCATCATCATCAGCATAATCATTATCATCAGCATCGGCATCATAACCATCATCAGCATCAAAACAAACATCATCATCATTATCATCATCAGCATCATCGTCATCATCATGATCATTACCATCATCAGTATCATGCTCAGCATCTTATTCGTTATCATCAGCATCATCAGTATCATCGTCATCATCATCAGCATCGTCATCGCCATCAGCATCATCATCATCAGCATCAGCATCGTCATAATCATCACTATCATCTTCCTCATCCACCTCTTTTCCCCCTCGTTCTCCACTCTCCTTCTTTTTCATCCTCCACCCTCCTTCCTCCTCCTCCTCCTCTTCCGCCTCCACTCTCTCCTCCTAAATTTCTTCTCCTTCTATATACTTCTGCCCTATCGCACCCAAGGGCCAGTCGAAAGGGTGGGCCGGGCGTTTCGCCTGAGACTTCCTCACCAGTTACCACCATGAAGCTTAAACATTGGCAACAGATTCACAAATGGAGGGCGGGTCGTTTTCAAAATGTGGATCTCGCCTGAGCGCCGCGCACATCCGTTAAAAAATGAAGGAACTTCACGGATTCAGGGCAGGTGCTTTTCAAAATGTGGCTCTCGCCTTAGCGCCGCACACATTCGCTTAAAAGTTTGTAAGAGTTTCACACAGTGTTAGCGGGTCGTTTTCAAAATATGGCTCTCGCCTGAACGCTGGCAACATCCGTCTTAAACATTTGCAAGTAGTCTCCCGGACTTATAGCGGGTCGTTTTCAAAATGTGGATCTCGCCTGAGCGCCGCACACATCCTTTAAAAAGTGAAGGAACTTCACGGATTCAGGGCCAGTTCCTTTTCGAAATGTGGCTCTCGCCCTAGCGCCGCGCACACTCGTCTTAAACATGTGCAATCGTTTCACGGATTCACATGGTCAACTTGCCAGAAATGGTGTTCTGGAGGGACTCCAGATTGTGAGGGCGCAACAGTTACGTTGATTCGCGGTGTTGACGTCCCCGGAGCGGTGTTCTGGCACGATTCCGGATCGTCAAAACGCAACAGACAGGTTGATTCGTGGCGCTGGAGTCCCGAGAATGGTGTTTTGGCAAGCTTCAGTGTCTTCGAACGGTTGTCTCCAAACGAGGCAGTTCCCTCAGTGGATTCGAACCGTCGTAGAAGCTTATGAACAAGGAGCTTGAAGGCTTATTCCAACATGATCAATGAGTCTTGGGCTTACACTGGTCCTCCTCCTCCTCCTCCTCCTTATCCTCCTCCTCCTCCTCCTCCGCCTCCGCCTCCGCCTCCGCTCTCTCCTCCACCTCCTCCTCCTCCTCCTCCACCATAATCCTCATCCTCCTCCACATCCTCCTCCTCATCCTCCTCCTCCTCCACCATTATCCTCCTCCTCTTCCTCCTCATCATCATCATCATCATCATCAGCATCAGCATCAGCATCAGCATCATCATCATCATCATCATCATCATCATCAGCATCAGCATCAGCGTCATCATCATCATCATCATCATCATCATCATCAAAATCATCATCATCATCATCATCATCATCAGCATCAGCATCATCATCCTCATCCTCATCCTCACCCTCATACTCATCCTCATCATCATCATCATCATCATCATCATCAGCATCAGCATCATCATCATCATCATCATCATCATCATCATCATCATCATCATCATCATCCTCATCATCATCATCATCTCATCCTCATCATCATCCTCATCTCATCATCATCATCATCATCATCATCATCATCATCATCATCATCATCATCATCATCATCATCCTCATCCTCATCCTCATCCTCATCCTCATCCTCCTCCTCTTTCTCCCTCCTCCTATGGGTCGGAGGGCCGCCGGGGGGGGGGCCTCGGAAGACATCGGAGGGCTGGGTCGGGGGAGCCTCGGGGGGGCTATGGATCCCTCGGCGCACGGACCACAATGGCATGCGCCACGCCCACAATTGACGAAGATGCCCCCTGCTTAAAATATTCGGGCTCTGACGGTGGTTACAATGATGGTTACCACTCAGAAATGCCCCTCGGGATCACCTGCTCCCGTCTTGTTGGCCGTCCCGCCGGCGTCCCTGAGTGTTCCCGCTGGCGGCGAGCTTGAAAAAAAACACACAGCATAGGCGCTCAGCCGATCTTGGCCCAAAGGACAGGATGCCTTGACAAAGCATGTGCTTCGAACGATCTGCGCGAGTCAAGCCAAAATCATCCTGCTCGTTTCCAAAGGAGCTTGCTGTAGTTCGCTTGCAAGGAGAGATGCTGCTGCATCTGACACGAACGAGGGCCAATGAGCCTCCCCTGACCTAGGGCCAGAGACAGCGCAAAGTCGAGGAGGAGCAGGAGGAAGCGGAGGAGGAGGAGGAAGCGAAAGCAGAGAGGGACAGGGGAACGGCCACGCGGCGCGCTCTCTGCGGCGTCGCCGTCGCCGTCGGCGGCCAGATGACGACGATGACGACGACCAGGGCGACGGCGGCGACCACAACGACCACGACGACCATGGCGACCATGACGACGACGACGACGACGACGACGACGACGACGACGACGACGACGACGACGACGACTGCACTGACCACGACGGCGGCGGCCACGACGGCGACAGCGGCGTGCACGGCAGCGGCAGCGAAGCAGCGAAGGCGGCGGGCGGGCGGGGCGCGCCTGCCGCCATCGCCAGCGCGAGCTCCAGCTCGAGGGCCCGCAGCCGGGCGCGGGCCAGGAACGCGGCGTCCGACTGCGCCTCCGCGCTTCCAGGGGGGGCAGGCGGCGAGCGCGCGTAATCCTCCCCCTCCCAATCCTCCTGCACTCCTCCCCCTCCTCCCCCACCTCCTCCCCCTCCTCCCTCTCCTCCTCAACTCCTCAACTCCTCCCCCTCCTCCACCTCCTACCCCTCCTCCTCATCCTCCTCCTCCTCCTGATCCTCCTGCCCCTCCTGATCCACTTGCCCTCCTCCTCCTCCTTTTCCTCCTCCTCCTCCTCCTCCTCCTCCTCCTCCTCCTCCTCCTCCCATTCCTCCTCCTCCTTCTTCCTCTCCTCCTCCTCCTCCTCCTCCTCCTCCTCATCTCCACTTCCTCCTCCTCATCCTGATACTCCTGCACTTTTCCTCCCCCTCCTCCCCCCTCCTACTCCACCTCCTCCACCTCCTCCCCCTCGTCCTCCTGACCCTCCTCCTCCTCCTCCTCCTTCTCCCCCTCCTCCTTCCTTCCTTCCTTCGTTCCTTCCTTGCTTCCTTCCACTCCTCTTGGCGCCACCCCCAGGTCGGGGCGCGCGCCCGGCCGGGCCGCGCGGCATGGGCCCTCATAGGCCGGCGGGCTGTGCCCGCATGCTGCCCTTCCCCGCGGCCGAGGGCTGTTAGGCTGGAGCCCGACGCCGAAGTGGAGACTCCGCACCTAGAGCCCCTGGGGAAGGGGTCGCCCGGCGGCCCCCCCAGGAGGTCGCTGGTGGAGCGCCGCGCGGGCATGACCCCCTGGCAGCCCCGCTTTGGGCTGGGTCGCTGCTGGTGGGTGTGGTGCCTAGGGTGTTGCCTGCAGCGCAGCCTCCAAACGGCGCGCCTCCTGCGGCGACAAGCCCGCGGCCACGCCCGCCCCGGGCCGCAGCCGGAGCACCGAGGCGGCGCCGCCGCAGTGCCCAAGGAGGTGGACTGCGGTCTCCTGGCACTGGGCGCAGAAGCGGCATGCTGCCACGGCGCCTGCAGCGTCGCGCGCGAAGGCGCCCTGTAGGGTCAGGCGGGCCCATGCGCGGGCCTCCGGCAGTGTGGCCCCGGCTACGCTGTGCTCCATCGTTGTGCAGCCCCCGCCGGCAGCGCGGCTGAGCGCCTCCTGCTGCACCGGGCTGGCAAGCCAAGACGCCTCCTGGGCGTCCGCCGCCGCCCGCACCAAGCTGCGATACTGGCTGCGGGCTCCTGCCCCTGCCTGGGGCCCGGGCGGGTCGGGGAGGCGCCACTGGGCGAGGAGCTCCTTGACGCGGCACACCCAGGAGCCCCTGGCCTCCTCCTCCTCCTCCTCCTCCTCCTCCTCCTCCTCCTCCTCCTCCTCCTCCTCCTCCTCCTCCTCCTCCTCCTCCTCCCATTCCTCCTCCTCCTCCTCCTCCTCCCTCTCCTCCTCCTCCTCCTCCTCCTCCTCTCCCCATCCTCCTCTCCTCCCTCCTCCTCCTCCCGTTCCTCCCTCCTCTTCTCCTCCTTCCCCCTCCTCCTCTCTCCTCCTCATCTATCCCATTCCTCATCCTTCTCCTCCCTCCTCCGCCTCCTCCTCCTCCTCCTCCCTCCTCCTCCTCCTCCTCCTCCTCCTCCTCCTCCTCCATTCCTTCTCCTTATAGATAACTCCTCCCTGTCGCACCCCGAGGCCAGTTTTTCGGGCGGGCCAGGCGTTTCGCCTGAGACTTAAAAGTGACAGCTTCACAAATGGAGGGCGGGTGGTTTTCAAAAGGTAGCTCTCGCCTTAGCGCCGCGCACATCCGGTTTAAAAATTGCAAGGGCTTCACGGATTGAGGGCGGATCGTTTTCATAATGTGGCTCTCGCCTTAGCGCCGCGCACATTCTGTTTAAAGAATTTGCCAGAGTTTCACGGATTGAAGGAGGGTGGTTCTCAAAATGTGGCGCTCGCCTGAGCGCCGCACACATTCGCTTTAAACAATTGCAAAAGCTTCACGGATTGAGGGCGGGTCGTTTTCAAGATGTGGCTCTCGCCTTAGCGCCGCGCACATTCGTTTTTAAAAATTGCGAGAGCTTCACGGATTGAGGGCGGGTCGTTTTCGAGATGTGGCTCTCGCCTTAACGCCGCGCACATTCGTTTTCAATAGTTGCAGAACTATCACGGTTTCCCATGATCAACGTACCAGAAATGATGTTTTGGAGGATTCAGGATTATGCGGGTGCAACAGTCATGTTGATTCGCGGTGTTGAGTCACCAAAAATGGCGCTCTGGCACGATTCCGGATCGTCGAGACGCAACAGTCACGTTGATACGTGGCGTTGAAAACCCGAGAACAATGTTGTGGCATGTTTCAGGATCTTCAAACGGTTGTCTTCCAACGGAGCAATTCCCTAAATGGAAATGAACCGTTGTGGGGGCCTATGAAGAGGGAGCTTGCAGGGAGGGTTAACTCCAACATCGTTGATGATTATTGGTTTTACACTGGTCTTCCTCCTCCTCCTCCTCACCCTCATCCTCCTCCTCCTCATCTTCCTCCTCCTCCTCCCCCTCCTTCACCTCCTCCGCCGCCTCGCGGGTTGTCTTCAAAAGTGTCCCTCGCCATGGCACCGCGCACCCTCGGCTTAGAAGCTCTCGACTGTCACAAGAAATGGAGGGCGGTCCGTTTGCAAAATGGTGTTATCTCTTACAACTTTTATCGGATTGCACAACTCGAAATGCAAAACTGACCAACAATCGCATGGATTGAGAGCGGCTCGTTTTCAAAAATGGGGAAACCGCGTAAGACTTCCTCCAATGTTGCTTCCCGACGTCTACACATGCGCAACTGTCACAAATACACAGGGCGGCTCTCGTTCTTAAGACTCGCCTGCCCACCGGGCCAGAGGCGTGCTAAAATCTCCGGTAGCAGGGCTCGATTGATCAACTTCGCGCGCGCGTGGCGGCCCCGGGGGGGTCCCGGTCCCAAAAATACCCCGGGCGGACCCCGCGCAGGCTTCAGGCAAGCCCCGGGCGGAGGTCCTCACGGATGCCGGAATTCCCAGGGGCGGCCTTCGGGGCGCATAAAGGAGCTCCCGGAACGCTCCGAGGGGCCCCAAGGGAGCCCCAAAAGGGCATCCGAGTCGGGATCCATGGGTGGCAGGTTACACGACGGCCTGCACACAGCCCCAAAATGATGCAAGATAGCCTCCAAATGGTCCAATGCAACACAGCTCCAAGAGGCCTCGAAAAGGCCAGGATTGATGCATGTCGCAAGGGGTTTCTGCATATTTCGCGTTACCGCTTGTCCGTCCTTGGAACGTCCAAGTCCAAGACGGCCCACGCAGCCCTCCAGATTGACATAATTCAGACCACGACGCTCCCAGGGCGGCCACGATACGGCCCAAGAGGGCCCCAAGACGACACCAGAGACCTCCCAAGAAGCCTCCAAACCCCTCAGGAGGGTCCGAAAAGGCGGAACCCGAACTGAAATTTCAAACCCTTTCCCGACAGATGGCCCCCCACACCACCAGAAAGCCCCCAAGAAAGCCCCAAAGACCTCATGCCCCCCAGACCCCCCGAAGAGGCCCCAAGAGCCCCCCTAGTTATCTTTCGAAATGAGAGTCCAACAACCACCATCACCACAACGACAACAGCAACAGTAACAACGGCAACATAGACAACAACAACAGCAACAACAACAACATCAACAACCTTGAAAACAACAACAACAACAACAACAACAACAACAACAACAACAACAACAACAACAACAACAACAACAACAACAACAACTACTACTACTACTACTACTACAACACCAACAACAACAACAACTTAACAACACCACCAACAACAACAACACCTTAACACGCAACAACAACACCAACAACAACAACAACAATAACACAACAACAACAACAACTACTACTACTACTACTACTACTATACTACTACGACTACTACTTATACTACTACTACTACTACTACTACTACTACTACTACTACTACTACTACTACTACTACTACTACTACTACTACTACTACTACTACTACTACTGCTACTAACTAACTACCTACTACTACTACTACTACTACTACTACTACTACTACTACTACTACTACTACTACTACTACTACTACTACTACTACTACTACTACTACTACTACTACTACTACTACTACGACTACCACAAACCAGACCAAACTAAACCAAAACCAAACAAACCAAACCAAACCAAAGCAAAACAAAACAACCGTCATATGTTTGTTTCACGAGGCTAAGGAGTCTGGGCGATACGTGTACCTCCCATGAGGATGGCGCGCCGTCACCTCTCTCTGGCGCAGTCCTGGAGAGGGGAGGGAGGGACCCGGCAGCAACGCGGCACGGCACCTCCGCGAGGCAGTCCTGGCAGCACTGCCAGCGCCTGCAGACTGCGCAGCCACCAAAGACGCGAGGGACCAGAGAGGGAAGGAGGAAAGCGGGAGGATTCTGAAGAGCGGGATGCCCTTATTCGGACCTCCTGGGGGGGTCCCTCGTCGCCAACGCTGGACGCGCCACGAGACCCTGGTCGAAACGCGCTCCCAGCCAGGCCTAAGTGTTCGACTTTGACCCCAGAAGATCAACCCACCCAGAGCCAAAACAAGTCCAAGTGTCATCATCACCATCATCATCCTCATCCTCATCATCGTCATCATCGTCATTACCATCACCATCATCATCATCATCATCATCATCATCATCATCATCATCATCATCATCATCATCATCATCATCATCATCATCATCACCATCACCATCATCAGCATCATCATCATCATCATCAGCAGCAGCAGCATGAATGCCCGCCTCCTCGGCGAGCGACACGGCGCGCAGAACGCCCGGGAGGTCGCCCGCGGCGACGGCGCTGTCGACGTCCGCCTCGGCCAAGGGCGGGTGGCACCACGTCGTCGACGTCGCCGCCGTCATCTGGCCGTCGTCGTCGCGACCGTCCATCGACGTCGTCAACGCTGGCCGTCGGCCCCGTCATTGCCGTCCGTCGTCTGTTGTCCGTCGTCATCGTCGTCCGTCGCCATCGTCGTCGGCGTCCCCCTCCTCCTCGTTGGCTTGGCCTTCGGTGCGGCCAGACGCGGCTTGGACAGACGCGGCCAAACGCGGCTTGGACAGCGGGTCGATGTAATGCCCAGACGAGATCAGGCAAGTAGCAGTAGCAGGAGCAGTGGCAGTAGACATACCAGAGGTAGACGTAGGAGGAGTAATAATGTAGTAGTAGCAGTAGTAGTAGTAGTAGTAGGAGTAGTAGTAGTAGTAGTAGTAGTAGTTGTTGTTGTTGTCGCAGTCGTAGTAGTAGTAGTAGTCGTAGTAGTAGTAGTAGTAGTAGTAGTAGTAGTAGTAGTAGCAGTAGCAGCAGCAGCAGCAGCAGTAGTAGTAGTAGTAGTATTACTAGTAGTAGTAGTAGTAGTAGTAGTAGTAGTAGTAGTAGTAGTAGTAGTAGTAGTAGTAGTAGTAGTAGTAGTAGTAGTAGTAGTAGTAGTAGTAGTAGTAGTAGTAGTAGTAGTAGTTGTAGTAGTAGTAGTAGTAGTACTAGTAGTAGTAGTAGTAGTAGTAATAGTAGTAGTGGTAGTAGTAGTAGTAAAAGTCGTGGTCGCGGTCGTAGTAATGGAAATAAACATAATAGTAACACTAGTAGTAGGAGTAGCAGCAGTAGTAGCAGTAGCGGTAGGAGTAATAGTAGCGGTAGTAGCAGGAGTAGCAGCAGTAGTAGTAGTAGTAGTAGTAGAAGTAGCGGTCGGAGTAATAGTGTGAAATAACATTAAAAGAAATAGTTGTAGTAGTGGTAGTAGTAGTAGTAGTAGTAGTAGTAGTGGTAGTAGTAGTAGTAGTAGTAGTAGCGGTCGTAGCGGTAGTAATAAGAATATTGGTAGTGATAGTAGTAGTAGTCGTGGTAATAGAAGTAATAGAAGCACCATCAAGAATAACAATAGAAGCAGCAGTGGTAGCAGTAGTTGTAGTAGTAGTAGTAGTAGTAGTAATAGTAGTAGTAGTAGTAGTAGTATAAGTTGTAGCAGCAGTCGTCGTCGCCGTCGTCATTGTCGTCGTCGTCGACGTCGTCGTCGTCGTTGTCGTCTTCAGCGTCGTCGTCGTCGCGGTCGTCGTCGTCGTAATGAAAATAGTAGTAGGTAGTAGTAGGTAGTAGTAGGTAGGTAGTAGTAGTAGTAGTAGTAGTAGTAGTAGTAGTGGTAGTAGTAGTAGTAGTAGTAGTAGCAATAGTAGTAGTAGTAGTATCAGCGATAGTAGTAGGAGTAGTAATAATAATAGTGGTAGTAGTGATCATAGTAGTAGTAGTCGTAGTAGTAGGTGGTAGTAGTAGTAGTAGTAGTAGTAGTAGTAGTAGTAGGAGTAGTAGTGGTAGGAATAGTAGTAGAAGTAGCAGCAGCAGTCGTAGTAGTAGGTGGTGGTGGTAGTAGTAGTAGTAGCCGTCGAAGTAGTAGTAGCAATACCAGTAGTAGGAGTAGTCGTCGTCGTCGTGGTAGTAGTCATGGTGGTAGAAGTAAAGGTAGCAGTAGTTGTAGTCGTAATATCAGCAGCAATCGCAGTAGCATTAGAAGTAGTAGTAGTAGTAGTGGTAGTAGTAGTAGTAGTAGTAGTCGTAGAGATTGTAGTAGTCGTAGTCGTAGTCGCAGTCGTAGTAGTAGCAGCCGTAGTAATAGTACCAGTAGCAGTAGCAATAGTAGTAGTAGTAGTAGTAGTAGTAATAGTAGTAGTAGTAGTAGTAGTAGTAGTAGTAGTAGTGGTAGTAGTAGTAGTAATAGTAACAGTAGTAGTAGGAGTATTACTCGTAGCAGTAGTAGAAATAGTCGTCGTTGTTGTTCCTTGAACATTTTTAGAATGACAGATAGCCATAGTAGTACCATGTGTTGCTGTAGTCGTAATAATACTATGCGTAGTAATAATGGCAGTGGCAGTGCTAGTGGTAGCAGAATCAGAATTAATAATAAAGTCGTGGTGGTAATAGTACGGTTCATAATAGTAGTAGTAGGGGTAATAGCAGTGGAAGTAGCAATACGACTAGCATTCGTACTAGTCGTAGTAGTAGTAGTAGTGATAGAAGTAATAGCAGCAGTAGTAATAGTATGGTCAATACTAGTAGTAGTAGTAGTAGTAGTAGTAGTAGTAGTAGTAGTAGTAGTAGTACTAGTAGTAGTAGTAGTAGTAGTAGTAGTAGTAGTAGTCGTAGTAGTAGTAGTAGTAGTGGTAGTAGTAGTAGTAGTAGTAGTGGTAGTAGTAGTAGTAGTAGTAGTAGTGGTAGTAGTGGTGGTGGTGGTAGTAGTAGTAGTAGCAGTAGTAACAATAATGATATAGTAGTAATCATAGAAGTAGTAGTAGTAGTAGTAGTAGCAGCAGCAGTAGCAATGGCAGTAATAGTAGTAGTCGTCGCCGCAGTCGTAGCCGTCGTAGCACGAATACGAGCAGCAGTAGTACCAAGGGCGCGGCGACGACGGGCGGCGACCGGGCGAAGATCTGGAAAAACGAGCCAGCACAGGAGGCGGCGACGAGACGGCGAGTGGGCGAAAACCCGAGCAGAAGGGCGACGAGGCGGCAACGGGCCGCGACCAGACGAAAACCCCGAACCCACCCTCGGCGGCGAGCGATGGGGGGAAGTGAGAAGGAGAAGGCCTTCTCAGAAGGCGGCGGGATTTCTCAGAAGCCCTCGCGCCTTCTGGGAAGGGTTCTGTGCCTTCGGGGAAGGCTTAGCAAACTTATCAAAGGCCAGGGGACTTCCGAGCCTTCTGAGAAGGCCTTCTCCTTCTCACTTCCCCCCTTCGCTCGCCGCCGACACCCGTCCCTCAGAATGCAAGCAAGAGCCCCTCACAACTAGCACACACATGGCAAGAAATCCTGCCACACAAGACCTGGGGGCTCAATCTCTTCACCGATCCACGAGGGTCCTAGGGTGCCCCCGAGCTCCCGTGGGTCCCTGGGGCCATCGGGGGATTTGAAATTTCCCTGTGGCACCTGATGACGGGCCGATGTCGTCCACAGACCATTTTGTGACTATCCCTGATTGTAGAGGGACGTGCCCGACATGACTGCAGTGCAACCCTCCCTCGTGATGCTTGTCATGACCCGCGGGGGTCTGGAGGTCGGGGGCGTCGCTGACACGCGCGCCTCCCGCTGCTCGCGGTACCTCTCGGAGTCGATCTCCCGCAGGGCCAGCTTGGCCTCCTCGACCTCCTGGGCGTCGACGCCGACCTGCGGCGGGCGTGCCCGCTGCTGGCAGGCGGGCGGGGGGGGGGGGGCCGATGGGGAGCGAGGTCGCGCAGACTGCTTGCTCGGGAGCGCCAGCAGCGGTCGCTGCCTGGGACTCGGGCGGGAGCGGCCAGCAGCAGATCGACAACTCGGATCAGCAGGGGGCCACTTGCGAACCCTACCCCTACCTCCCACGCTTTCTGAGGGGGAGGTTGGGGTTCACTTCGTTCGAGAGCTCCCGAACGAGGTGAACCCCACACTCCCCCCTCAGAAGTCGTGGGGGGCAGGGGCAGGGTTCGCACGTGGCCCCCCAATCAGATCGGAACGTGCACCGAATCGGGCCGCAGCGGCACGGGGTCGGGATCGAATCGGCTCGGCTGCGCGAAGGCGTACAGCAGTGTCACGCAAGCATCGGGCCGCGTCGGACCGACGGAGCGTCGGAATCGACTCAGATCGAAGTGGCCAGAACCGACATCGAATGGATCGAAGTGGGCCCTCTGGGGGGGGGAGAGCGAACAACGGTGACGCTGCGGCGGGGCGGGGCACGTCGGGGCGGGCGCTTGCCGCGGTCGCCAAAGAAGTATGCGCGCGGGCACCAGCATGTTGGGGGAATGTCCAAGCCCCCCCCTCCCCCCCTGCACTTACGATTGTTACTGTCGCCTTTTGGGGGCGAGCAACGACCGTTACGCGCCAGAGGATTTCTTCACAACAAAAAACAAAACACAAAAAGAAACACCTCGGGCGGGGGAGAACAAGGGATCGAGACCCAGGACATGCGACGTCTTGCTTCGTCAATGCGGGGTCCCCGGAAGTCCCGACCCTTTTCGCCAGGGTCGGGTTTTCATCTTGAATATATGATTGACGATCCCGCCGCCCAGCCAGGGCCCCCAGATACGACTAAAAACCTTCGTCCTGATCCTTTCAGGACGTTGCATGTGGCGGGCGTATATCAGGCAGTCCGTCCATCTAGGATAAGCGTAGCTGGGCCAATGGGGCATTCAATCAACATAGAGCTCCCCAATCAACGGTCGGATAAGTGTCTCCGCCTATGAAAGGGATAGCCTACAGCAAGTGCTAGGGAGCATGCAGCACTCGAGCACAGAGTGGGCGAGCCAACCTGGTGGCCTCGAGGCCCCTGCAACATCGCCGAAAACCACGAGTGGAGCCGCGGATGTGAGCGGAGGCTAACGACCAATGAGACGAACCGATAAGGAGAAAAGACGAGACTCGTTTGTCCTAGCGCCCGTCGGATCGAGGGCGCTCAAGATGTCCAGTACCTGAGCCGAGAGGATAGCAGGAAAGATGGATAGGAAGGGGAGATGAATGGTTTTCACACATAGCGGACCCCCTCTTTCTGCGCCTTCCTTCGAGCCCGCCCGATCTACGAGGGCCCCGCGGCACGAAGCTGGGCGACGAACGCCCGGATCCCGAGAAATTCGGTCGCCAGGATCTCAAGGAGGTCTGGAGGCCAAGCAGGTGGTTCCTCGAGCGCACGGGCAGGGGGAGGAGGAGGAGGAGGAGGAGGAGGAGGAGGAGGAGGAGGAGGAGGAGGAGGAGGAGGAGGAGGAGGCGGAGGAGGAGGAGGAGAAGGAGGAGAAGGAGGAGGAGGAGGAGGAGGACGAGGACGAGGACGAGGACGAGGACGAGGAGGAGGCGGAGCAGGCCCGGAGCGGACAGCGGTGCCGCATGCACGCGTTGCGCACGGCTGCTCGGCGCAAAGGTGCGGGCCTCCGGCAGGGGAGCCGGGGCCCCTGCGGGCGCGGGGCCTCCACGGCGGCGGAGATGGCGGCGCAGAGCTCGCTGGGCATCTTCTCGCGCAGCCCTGCGATCCTGTGGGGCGAGCCAGGGCTCCTCCTCCTCCCCCTCAATCGCTCCTCCTCCTCCTCCTCCTCCTCCTCCTCCTCCTCCTCCTCCTCCTCCTCCTCCTCCCTGCTGCTCCTGCTTCTCCTCCTGCTCCTCCTCCTCCTCCTCCTCCTCCTCCTCCTCCTCCTCCTCCTCCTCCTCCTCCTCCTCCTCCTCCTCCTCCTCCCCCTACTCCGATCCCGTAGCCCTGCGATCCTGCGATCCTGTGGGGCGAGCTGGGGCTCCTCCTCCTCCCCCCTGGCAGCCCTGCGACGAAAATCCGTACGTGTGGGGGGCGAGCAAGTCCGCAAATGCAAGGGCCCAAGGCGCTCAGCCAGAGCGAGGCTAGTCCGAGGTTCGGCGACTCCCCGGGAGCCACACTCGTCGTCACTCCTCCCCCCTGAAAGCCTTGCGAGGAAACTCCTCCAGGCCTCGCGCGGCAGCTTGAGACCCAACGTACGTCGGATCCACGTCGGAGTTACGTCGGGTCCACGTCGGATTGCGTCGGAATCCCGTCGGATATACGTCGGGCTTGCGTCGGAACATCACTGCGCGAACGTCGCCAACGTGGCGGACGTGCGGACAAGATATATGATACAACGATTGAGCGCCGCGCGAGGCCTCGAGGATGTCCCTCATAGCAAGCCCTGTCGTCGGAAGGCCCAGGCCGCGGGGGGCGGTCAGACCAGAAAAACTGCAATGAGCGAACGAAGACACACTTGCATGTACTCATTAATACGTTTGTTTACCTGTTTCGCGTGTGTGGTTATTATTATTATTCGTAGTATTCGTATTCATACTATGATTAATTATATGAATACTACATATGATCACAGCATTAGTACTAGTTTCATTTTCAGTATTGCTTGGTCGCTTATTTTTGAAATGTCGTTTTGAAGGCACATGTGCATGTGCGGCCTCCGCGGCCCCGCGTGCAACAGCGGGACCACGCTCAAGCGTAGGCCAACGGAAACTGGCCGCGTGCAGAGTCGGCCCGTATCATAATGATGCACGGTTAGGATGCGAGGGCCTTGGACGCCCATCTCGCTTCTCGAGCGGGGCGCGGCCAACGAAAGTGGCCAGGGATGGACCGAGGAGGCATTGATGCAAGGGTAACCTTGGGAAGGTTGCCCATCCTCACTGTGCGGGTTGACTGTACGCGTGCATTTGTTGTTGGCCTCTGGGTGCAAACAAAGGGACTGGTTGGGGGGCAAGTTTCGCCAGGGTTGTGGGCGCCTTCCCCAAGGGTGGCGGCTGGGGCCGTTCTTGCCAACGGCCCGCCGGAAAAACCGTTTTGTATAGAACGTGGCATGATGCCAACAAATTGGCCTCGACCCGTGACTGTTCCTCTCTGCCGCTTGAGATCGGATCAAAGAGGCCTGGCGCACAAGGGTAACTTGACGACCACGGTGGCAAGCACACAGAGGTGAGTCTGTGAGCGGGGCCCAAGGGTGGCGACCACGAAACCCAGCTCACATGGCAACTCAGGCTAGAAATCGATGGACAAATCCAATAAAAACCAGGCACGCGGCAACTGAGGCCAAAACGCTGTGGGCGAACTCTACGGTCGGCAAAGAGAAAGTCATGCCCGCAAGGCATCTAAGGGCGGCACCGTGTAAGCGGGACCGTATGGCGACCATCGATTCGTCAGCCCCACAGAACCACTTCCTTCCAACGAGGAACCCCGTGGTGCAAGCAAACGTTCACAAAAACCTGACATGTCACATCATATTCTCAGCATGGGCAACCGTTCTGCCAAAGGCCGCTGCTCGCTTAGTTACGAATTGCATATGACTGTGCCAATTGTGCCCGTTGTCTGCTAGCGCCCGCAAACTTCCCCACACAATGTTGGTACTCAGGGGCTCTCCCATCCGGTCGAAGGAACAGGGGCTGGGTGGCGGTCGGGCGGTTATGTCGTCGCCGTCGCCACCCCGTCGCCGCCTCGTCGCCGCCCGTCGCCTGCGCCTGGGTGGCGGTATGGCAGCGATGGTGTCGCCGTCGCCGCCCCGTCGCCGTCCGTCGTTGGCGGGTATGTTGTCGGCGTCGCCGTCCAGGCGCCGCCTAGCTTGCACAACGAAGATTGCACATATTTCAAAGAATTTGAACTCGGCACATCCCCTCGTAATCATCGCCTCCCCCTGGGATACGACACGTCACGTATACTCTGCCTCAACGAATTTGGCTTGTGAAGCTATAGCATCCCAAAGGACACCCTTATCGTCCCCGCCACCCCTCATCCCTGTCAAGTAACACAATGCGCACACACTCGCTCACCAACGAAAGCCATGTCCAAGAACCCCCTGCAGCAAATCTGGCAAAGTCCGCACGCGCGCGTCGTCGCGCGCGCATGTCGACATCGCCCACAAATAATGTCTTCATGATTTCAAGATCAAAACTCCCGGAAATGCGCGTCTCTGCAAATTCTTAACCGAACCACCGGTTATTCCACATGTTCGTCAAAAGAGACCACGCGGGCCTTTCGCGCGCGCATGTCGAAATCATTCGCGCGCGCATTTGCGCGTTTGTTTTTTTGTGGGGGGGGGCGGTCCTTCAAGAACAGCACCGTGCGGGCCACTCGCGCGCGTCGGCCGCGCGCGCATGTCGAAAAACTTCCAAGACCTTCATCAGCGACACGTGGACACCATCATCGACATCGGCGTGACCAGCATCGGCGCCGTAAATACCCTTGCCGGCCTCATCGTCATCATCGTCACCAGCATCGCTACTATAATCATCGTGTCTGCCGTTGTCGACGTCACCATTATACCGCGCAGTTGACAACTCCAAACTCTTCAAACTTAATTCTCCGCTCTCCAAGAACCCCTTGCAAAATAATTACAATGTCGACACGCACGCGTCGTTGATCGCGCATGCCGGAAGCATTCAAAAATCGCTGGGCGCCGTAAGGATGTCAAGATCAAGGCCCCCGGTGGATGTTTAAACAACAAGAAAACTGTTTCGCAACATGGCTCTTCAGGAATAAACTGTGCGCGCGATCTTGCGAATGCTTTCAAAAAACCATGGTCGTTCAACCTGATCATCAAAATGATCGACGCGAAATGCACGAACCGAGGATTGGGCTTAGCGAACCCGACCCGCATACCGTCATAGTGTCATGGCGAAGAGAACGTGAAAGCAGCCGCTCACGCACCCAGAGATCCGATGTCGTGATTTTTTCAACACGGGGTCCCCGGAAATCTCGACCCATTCCCCTGGACCAGTTTTCCGGGGCCCCGCGAGGGCCCCCAGAGGCCGAAACCTGCGAAAAACTTGCGCCCTGATGTTTTCAATACGTTGTATCTCTGGGCATGTGCAATACGCACCCGCGCAGAACAGTTGCGGCCAACAACTGGGCTGCAAAACCACCCGTGGTTGCCATGGAAAATGCGCGCGGCGGGACGTGGCCGACTAGGCCGAAACGCCGTGCCACAGGGAGGAAACGCACAAAACCCACTGGGCGGGGAGCAGACGCGCAGCAGCGGTATCCTCGGGGTTTCTGGGCCGCGAGCCGACCGAGGGAACGCGCACATCGCTCCAATCACTATTGTTAGGTCAGACATGTCCTTCTACAGGCGGATTTTATAAGAAAGGAAAAAACTATCACAAAAAAGACGTCCCAAAACTATGTTGGTTCTGTGTTTGCATATGCCTCCTGTAGAGGGACATGCCCGATTTACCACTAGTGGGAGTCTTCAAGGAAATATCCACCCCCACGATTTTCGCCAGCGTGGCAGTGCGGATCGCCACAATGTTTACTCGGACCGCGGGGCGGGCCGACAAAGGAAAGCAGGCCAGGCAAGGAACAGGAACGGGCCGGTGAGCGAGGAGACGAGGAACGAGAACGGGAGGGGGAGAGGAGAGGGGGACGACAGAAGGAGACAGACCGGGCCGACAGACGGAGGGACGGGGGGACGGGAGGGGAAGCCAAGGAGGGAGAAGGGGAGCACACCGCGCACGAAGGCAAACAAACACAAGGGCAAGGGGAATAACACAGAGGAGAGGGAACACAAGGGCGAAGGACGGGCACGGACAGGGAAGAAGAGGAGGAGGGGAGGCGGACCCGAGGGCCGACAGCGGGCCTCTCGCGCGCGCGTGTGGAAATCATTCGAACGCACGTGGGCGCTTGCTGGGGGGGGGCACGGCCCATGCCAATTTTTTATACATTTATATATATATATATATATATATATATATGTATATATATGTAAATATACAAGTACATAGAGTATGATCTATATACACACATATATATATATATATTATATATATATATATATATATATATATACATATATATATACATATATGAAGATATATATGTTTTACATTTAACACTGCGGGCCACTCGCGCCCGTCGGCCTCGCGCGCATGTCGGAATCCGTCCAAGACATTCGTCGCCGACGCGCGGGCACCCTCATCGCCACCGAGGTGACCAACAACGGCGCCCCCGTTGGCCTCGCCGTCGCCAGCGTCACCGTCATCACCCGCATCGCTGATATCACCAGTTTGTCTGCCGTTGTCGACGTCACCATGATACTGCGCCCGCCCGAGCCACCGACTCGCACTGCCGACTCGCACTGAAGTGCCCATGACACCCTGCGGGACTCGCGCCCGCCGGCCGCGCGCGCACGTCGAAATCCCCCCACAAACTTCATCGCCAGCCGTGGACGCCACGACCGTCATCGGCGTGATCAGCATCAACGCCGCGTTGGCTTCGCCGTCGTCATCGTCATCACCGTAATCAGCATCGCGACTATCACCGCCGCGTCGCTGTCGACGTCGCCATGCTACCGAGTCCGCCCGAGTCGCCGACTCGCAGTGGAACGCCCGCGCGCCAGCGCGACCCGCGATACGCGCTGGGAAATCTCCGGCGGTCAGCGCCACCGCGACCGCGTCGGTCGCGCCAGACTAGCTGGCCGCTCTCCGCGCGAGCCTGCGCGCGCAAACGCGGCGCCAGAGATGCGCCAGCAATCGCCCAGCCGCCAATCGGCATCTCCGCCGCACTGGCTTTGCACACCAAACTGTGGGCGGGTGGGTGGGATGATTGCGCGAGCACTGGAGTTGACAGCTCGCTGCGAACAAAAAACGCATTGCGCCACCGGGCTTTTCCGTTCCAAGAAGATAGGATTTACACACAAATCGGAATTATCGCCCCCCTGGGATTGTTCAATGTACATATGGTTATGCCCTGCCGCTCATTTGGAATAATATCATACTATCCCGGCCCAACCCCTTGCCGACTCACCCCCCGCACTCCTGTCAGATAATGGCACGCGCGCGCGCTCGTTGATAAAATGCCACGCGTCTTCAAGAACCCTCTTGCAATAAAAAGTAAACACAACATAAAACATCCACAAATCCTGGCGCTTGCACTCGCCTCGCACGGCCCTGGGGGGGGGGGGAGGAGGAAGCCTCCCCCAGGAGCGGAGGGTGCGGACCCGACCCATCTGCCCCGCAGCGCGCGGCCTCTCCGAGGCCAAGCGGGCAGACGCCGGTCGGGCCCGTGGGGGAGCACCACCCCCCCCCCACACCCCCAGGGCGGGTAGGGCGGGCCAACGACAGCTCGTGGTCACTATCGACCAGAAGAGAGGGCCCCATTGGGCACGTGAACGCAGCAGGCCGCTATGGGCCGCAACGAAGCCACTATGGGCCGCAAGGAAGCCACTATGGGCCGAGCGAAGCCCCCAGAGGGCGGAGGGCCGAAACCCGACACACGGCACGGTATTTATATCCCGCCCCAGTGCCAGGCGGAGGAAGCACGGCACGGCACTGCACCACACGACGCGAGCGGGAGGCGGAAGAGGGTCGACCAGCGCGCGGCCGACCAGCCGAGCGAGGGCGCCCCCGCGGCCAGCCGCGGGGTCGTTCACAGCGCGGGCGGATTTGTGCCAAGCAATAACTTCGTTATTCCGACCCCACAAATCCTGGCGCTTGCACTCGCCTCGCACGGCCCTGGGGGGGGGGGGAGGAGGAAGCCTCCCCCAGGAGCGGAGGGTGCGGACCCGACCCATCTGCCCCGCAGCGCGCGGCCTCTCCGAGGCCAAGCGGGCAGACGCCGGTCGGGCCCGTGGGGGAGCACCACCCACTGCAACGGCGCTCCCGCGGGCCACGCCCGGCGCTGCCACCCACTGCCCCCGCGTGCCGGGGGTGCGCCCACGTGTGTGCCGTGCAGACACGACCACCAGACTGCGCGGGGTGCTCAGCCATCGCCATCGTCGCTGGACGACTCTGCCAAATGGGCTTCCGCGACCGACTGCCGCTCGAGCCGGGAAACGTTAAGGTATTTCATCCACGCGGGCTGATGCCAGCCGCCCGCGCGAAGAAGGTCGGTGACCGGTCCGCCCCTGGCAGCGATGTCCTGCGCGTGCCCGCGCCTGAACGCGTGAGTGCCGAATGATTCCGCGTCGTGGCGCCCCATTTCGCCCAGCGCGCGGCGCAGCCGAGCACGTGCCGCGCCTGGGGACCACGCAGCCCAGATGGGCTGATGAGCTGGCTCGCCAACTAGCCAGGCCCCAAGAACGTGTACGGGACAGGTGACCGCGCACTCGTCGCACCAGCACTGCCGTGCCATCACCGAGCGGCTCTCGCGGTTCTTTCTCCTGGAGAGGTGCAGCTCGATCTTTTGATCGCCGACGACGAACGCGGAGGCCACGCAAGCCGCGGCCGCGCCATCTTCAACCCGCACCGCGGGCAGGGCCTCCGAGGGTAGCCGAAGGAGGAATGCGTAGGCCGCCAGGCACAACATGGCGAAACGGCGACCCTCGTCACTGACGCGCAGGTGCGACACCAGACGGGCGACGTCGCGGCCCTGAAGGGCCATGCGCGCCTTCGCCTGCCAGCCCGAACGCTTCTCGATGGCGTTCTTAGCGGCGCGAACCGCCGGGTGCCTGAAGACTTCCACGGGCCTTGCGCGCCAACTGCCGCCGCGGGCGGACGCGCGCGTTGCCGGAAGATGAGAGGCGGGCGCGCGCCGGCATGCCACGAGGCACGCCTTCTTCACGTAAGTCACATAATTGCTGAAGGTCCCGGCGCACCTGAAGGTCGTGGACCACAGAAGCAGCCCCTCCAGGGTGGGCGGCAGTTCCTTCCCCCGTCGCTTTAAGACGCCCCTTGCGAATGTAACCCAGCACTCGAACCCGCTGCTGAGCGCGGGCAATGAGCGCGGGCATGCGCCCAGGAGAGCGCTCACCCGGGCCCTGCGCGCCCACGCTTTACCGGCCGCCGAGGAGGTGATGAGGGCTCTGGCCCGAGCAGCTTCGGCCCGCGGCCCGCGCATGTCACGCCGACCCTCGCGCCCAGCGACTGAGAGCGCCCACCGGACCGCGGACACGGGGTCCTCCGGGGGAGCTGCATGCGCCCTGCCGCTGTCCTGGCGCCCGCGTTTAGCGCTGCGAGCGACATGCCGCAAATTCGCGCGCGCACCGTGGAGGATGACGAGACGGATTCGCTCGAGGGCGACCGCGTCGCGATGTCGGTCCTGCGACGGCCGACAAGGGGGGGGCCCGCGACGAACGCGGAACGCGCAAGCAGACCTGGGGGCAATCCCGGGCGACGGGGCGGGCGCAGGAGAAGCGCCCGCGCTGCCCCTGCCCAGTGCGGCTGGCGCGCCGCCGCGCTGGGCTGCCGCGATAGCCGCGCGGACCACCTCGCGGGCGTCGCAAGATAATGCCGCGGCGCCCCTGAAGTCTGCCAGGGTGACGCCAACCAAATCGCTCACGGCGTCGGCGCCGTTATCGGCAAGCAGCTCGGCAGCGGCGAACACAGGAAGAGGGCGTGCCTCAGGGCAAACCGCGCGAAGCTGAGCGAGCAATCCAGCCAGCGCCATCGCGCGAACACCGATGACATTCTCCAGGTGCGCCGACAAACCAGAGATGCCCTCGCGCGCCCACAGGCGAAGCGCGACCGCGACGTGCGCGAGGGAGGACGCCAACCCCTGCCCGACCTGGCGGGCGCACCCTGACCGATGAGTGAAGGCCAGATCCATTGCACGCACGCCCAGCGCCCGAGCCGGTCATGGCCGGCGATGAGGAAGCCACGCGCTCGGATCGAACCAGGCATCGTCCAGCACCGGAGGAATCCACTCCGCCCCCAAGCGATACAGCAGGGAATATGACTCGCGCGACGGCAGGTCGGCGATGTTGTCCACCGACGCCACACGCTGAACGTGCAGATTGCAATTCGCATCCAGCGCCATGCGCCAGATTGAGTGGACCAGGCAATTGTGGTCAAACTGCTTCGCCGCACCGGACCGGACGGCCCACTCGCTGCCTGAATTATCCGAAAAGATGTTCACGCATCGGCCCGACAGGAGCGGCTCAAAGGTGGCCAGGCCCAGCGCGATGCTGAGCACCTCCAGACCGCCGATTTGATTGTCGCGCCTTTCCCTGAAGAGCCGAAGCAGAGGCTCAGGCGGGGCGACATCGGTGAAGACAATGCGCCCGTCAATGAAAAGAACCGCGGCCACTCTAGCTGGATTCCCCCGCGCGTCGGAGAGCAATTGGACAGACCTGGTGTCTGGCGCCTGCCACTCCCGCGTCGTGGTGAAATTTCTGGCGAGCGCTTCGTGCCACCATTGCAGGCAGACTCGCAGGTGCGCCGGGATACTAGGATGGCGCGCCCTTGCGTGCTCAAACAACGGCGGGAGCAGCGCGCGCCCGAACCGCCCGAAGGTGTGGGAGGCAGCCCAACAGAAGCGGCCTGCCAACTTGGACGCGCGCCCGCGCTCGAGCGCGCCCTCTTGAAGAGCAGCAGCGATCTCGGCGCGCCACCGGGCGCGCTTCTCCGGCAGCGGCCAGCACACGAGGCCACGCTCGTCAATCGCCACAGACAAGCCCAGGACCCCGAGCGGATTGCCGAACAGCAGCTTACCGTCGGCCACAGCGCTCGGGCCCAGAATGATTCTTACCAGTTCGGCGAACTGTCGCATTGCGTCGCGCAGCCCTTTCTTACGTTCGGGGCAGAAGAAGTCGTCCACATATCTGAGGACGGGGACGAAAATGAGCCTGCGGCCCAGCGCTGACAGCATCGCGCCGATGCGCTCCCAGCTGTGAACGGAGGAAGTCGCTCCGAATGGGGCGGCGAAGTGCTGAGCCACGTAGACGCATGTGCCCACGAGGAACGCGACCCATGCGAGGGCGCGATGTTCCGGCAACAGCGGCACGCGCCGGAACGCGGCGTCTATGTCCGCCTTCCAGAGCCCGGGCGCTTCGCCCACGCGCGTCACAAATGCCTTGCAAGTGCCAAACAGAGCGTCGATGGCTTCATGGCCGAGACGCTCCGTCGGCTGCGACGCCGCGTTGATACGAGAGCGCGACATATCATCTACGAGCCGCAGCTTCTCGGACCCGTCCTCTCTCGACTGCCGGACGCCGAACCGCGGCGACAAAACCGCACCGTCGAGCTCGACCGCGCTGAGCGGCGCGGGATGGCTCATTCGGCCGAGCTCCGCTTCGGCGATAGTTTTGGTGAGAATCACGGCGGAGTCGCTAGACTCCTTGAGCGTGCCGAGCAGCGCGGCGTTGCCTCGCTCCGCGCCCGCGGCCAAGTCCGGCAGGCTGAGCGGTACAGGGAAAGATTCCGGACGCCCGTTCCCCGTGCACGGGAGAGGGCCCACGAGAGGCGCGCCGCGCCGAAAGACTTCCACGCAGGCCGCGTCCTCGTAACCGATTTCGTCGAGCAGTTCGACGAGAAGAGGGCCGTTGATCGACCCTGCGATTGTGCGCACATGGGCATCGCAGCCCGCGAACCAGGCCGCCGTCGCTCCAGAGGCGCGTAGCTCGGCGTCCCTGGCCCGAATTCGCTCGAGAGTCGCTCGCCGCTCACGGCACACCTGCCGCTCCGAGCGCGCAGCAATCCAATCGATCGCCGCCAAAACATCGCCGGGCACCACCACGGCCTTTTCAAAGGCCTCTTTGTCCTCGAAGGAGTGAGAACGGGAGAGGACCTCTTCAAGAAAGGCGAGCTTAGGCGCTTCCTCAGCAGACGCAGGCGACGGCAGGTGACAGCAGCCGGCAGTGGCCAGCGCGCAACCGCGTGCATTGCAACTCGAGGCAGCATTCTGCCGGGCGCGCGAGCCCGCGAGCGTCGCGCGCCACAACGCGCAGCGCCTGATAATCCCATGTGGCAGCGATACTGGGCCCCATCGCATCCTGCGCTTTGCGAGCGCGAGCGCTCGAGCCTGCCGGGGGCGTTCGCGCGCCTCCTGGCCCAGCGGGCGGGCGGCCCTCGCGTCGCGAACGGACCGCGAGTGTTGACTGGCACCCAAGCCCTGGACGACGCGGCAACAACGCGGCGCCCTCCTGCCAGCGCGCGCGCGCGCGCCTGCGGGTCCCACGGGACGGTGGCTGAGGTTGGCGCCCATTCGTTGTTATTCAAGTGCCAACGTGGCGCGCGATGCACGTCCTCATTGGCGCGCGTCCCGCACATCGCCGCGCGCCGCGGGCTGCGCGTGCCTCCGGCGGGCGTCAGGCGCGCGGCTTCTTCTGAGGAGAATACACCGTTCGCGAATCCCAGGAGCGCTTGTTGTAATCCCCGCGATAGGATCGGGACTGCCACCCGTCGGCTCTGGAATCGCGGTCGTTCTTCCAGGAAGTGACGGCGGCGCCCCCCGCGGCTCCCACGGCGCCCGCGGCGCTCGCGGCGCTCGCACTCTGCCCGCGCGCTGCCGCGGCGCTTTTCCCTGCACCCTTGCCGGCCGGCGCGGCAACCTGCGCGACAGCGGTGGCGCAACGCGAACAAGGGATTCGGCGACGCGGCCTTAAGAGCCCGATCATATTCCGCTTCCGCCGCGCGGAGCAGCCCGACGTCAAGCGACAGCGCCGCAACGTTCACCTGCGCGCCGACGCGCGCCCGAGAATAACGCGCCGAAGCATGGCGCGGAGCTGCGGCCTGGAAGCCTGCCGCGCCGGCGGCGGCACGCTCGGCCCACGTCCTCCGCACAAGGCGGTCGTAGACCAAGGCAACCTGGGCCTTCCGTCCCTGCAGGGGGGCATCCAGTGCAACCTGGGCAAGCGCGCCCACTTCGGCGACCAGCGGACGGGCGCCAATGTCGACTCGCCTGGAGAACAACGTGTTTGTGAGCCATGGCGCTCGTGTACGAAATCTGATCAGTGACCGCGGCCGCCACGCTCCACGCGTCGTAAGCTTGGTGCCATGGCGTCCACGCCAGAAGCGGCTGGCTCTCCGCCGCGGTTCCCCGTCCGAACGCTCTGGCCAACGCGGCCGCCTCTTTCGACTCGGGCTCGTCATCGTCGGGAGAGCCGCCCGCGCCGCGCGCGCAAAGCGGCTGGAACTTCGCGAGCTCAGTATAAATGAACGGGCGCGCGATTCCCCTGGATTTCGCGCGCTGCACCTCGGTGGCCAGCGCATCGGTCTTCGCTGACCTGAGCGAACGATGGAAACGCGCCAGCGCGCCGGGGCGAAGCCGCGCGGCAGCCTCGGCCACAGGGACTCCGGAAGGTCCCTCAAGCTGATCTGGGCCAGGCCAGCGCCGATGTCGACATGCTCTCCCTTCGGCGGGAGCCCAGGATTCTGCAGCAACCGAACCGAAACGACCCGCCGAAGCCGGCGCGGGCCCCGCGGCACCCGGCGCACTCGCCTTGGCTGCAGCCACCGTCGCGCGATCCAGAGCGCGCCGCAGGACGCCCTTCGTCAGCGCCGTCGCGCCATCGGCATCCTTCAAATCGCCGAATTGAAGATTGGCCAATTCTTCTGGCATCGTCAGCCCATTGGCTGCCAGGCAATCAATGGCGCCCTTGAACTGGATATCAGTCCACTTCGCGCCCACAACAGGGTCAGACTGCAAGAAGGCAAGCATCGCCATCGCAATCACAGCGCCACGGGGCACGAGCGAGAACCACGCCAGCTGAAGCCCGCTCGCTTGCATGCCAGCGCGCCATGGTGACGAATGAGAGCGTGCCAACGACAGCTCGTGGTCACTATGGACCAGAAGAGAGGGCCCCATTGGGCACGTGAACGCAGCAGGCCGCTATGGGCCGCAACGAAGCCACTATGGGCCGCAAGGAAGCCACTATGGGCCGAGCGAAGCCCCCAGAGGGCGGAGGGCCGAAACCCGACACACGGCACGGTATTTATATCCCGCCCCAGTGCCAGGTGAGGAAGCACGGCACGGCACTGCACCACACGACGCGAGCGGGAGGCGGAAGAGGGTCGACCAGCGCGCGGCCGACCAGCCGAGCGAGGGCGCCCCCGCGGCCAGCCGCGGGGTCGTTCACAGCGCGGGCGGATTTGTGCCAAGCAATAACTTCGTTATTCCGACCCAACGAAAACATCAGCAACGAAACAAACATATGTGAATCTGCAAACGATAATTAAACAATCGTATTTCTTCATTTTACATATCAAAGCATGTATAGTTTTACATGTATAGAACATAAAGGGTTTCATTTGTTGAATTCTACCCAGATACAAGAAAATGGCGTTGCAACGTGACGTCTCACAAAAAGCCTGCGCGCGCTCGTGCAAATTCTAATGGAAAAAGCCATGTGTTTGTTTTAAACAGTTGCGCCGAATTACACCACGCGGGCCTCCCTCGCGCGCATGACACAACCACTCGCGCGCAATAGCGCGTTTGTTATTTTGTTTGAGTGGGCGGCCCTTGTCAACTAGCACCGCGCGGGCCACTCGCGCCCGCCGGCCGCGCGCGCGCGTCGACATCCTTCAAAAAACTACCATCGCCGACACGTGGACACCGTCATCTTCATCGGCGCGATCAACGTCGGCGCCGTCATGGGCCTCGCCGCCGTCGTCGCCACTATCCAATCGCCACCAGCATCGCCATTGTCATCATCGCGTCTGCCGTCGCCGACGTCGGCATGATAACGCGCGCGCTCGGGCCAGGAACTTGCGCGGAAATGCACGCGCGTCAGCGCAGGCTGCGAGACGCGCTGGGAAACACTCAACGGTCGGCGCCACTGCGGCCGCGTCGGCAACGCCAAACCAGCCGGCCGCTCTGCCCGCGAGCCCGCGCGCGCCACGCGGCCGCAGCGATGCCCCTGCCAGCGCAAAGCTGCCATCGCAGTCGCCGCCGCGATGGTTCGCAGACCAAGTTGCGGGTGGCCGGGCGGATAAATTGCGGGGGCCTTGGCGCTGACAACTCACGAGTGGAAGAAATCATTGCACCACTGATGTTTCACGGCAGAGACTGCGCATAATATTGCCTGCGTAACAAGATCTGCGCAATGTGTCTTCTTCTTTCTCAAAGGAATATAAGCCCCCTTTCCTCCTGTTTTATCGACCCCCCTGAGACATTGCAACGTGCATAGGATCCTTCCCCATCATCGCTTCCGAACATGAGTTCACACCATTCCAAGGGGCCCCGTTATCGACCCCCCCCCCCGCCCCCACCCCAAAGCCCCACCCTTGTCAACTAACACAATGCGCGCGCATTCGGCTATCCAAAAATATCGATTTCCAAGAACCCGTTCAAGCAAATCGGCGCGCGCTGCGTCGCGCGCGAATGCCGGGATCCCCCTACAGCCTTAGGTTTCGAGCGGACTTCAACATCGAGGTCCCCAGGCAAATTTAAAACGCAATGGTTCTGCAACGCGATTTGTCAAACGTCTTCGTGCTTGCGAACGCCGAAGGAAACCAAGATGTCGCCAAAAATTCGCAGAGTGAGACCACGCGGGCATCCCGCGCGCGCGTCGATATCATTCGAACGCCTTTGCGAACTTGCTGGGGGGGGGGGGGGGGGGGCGCGCTCCGTATCAAACAAAACCATGCGGGCTACTCGCGCAGGCCGACATCCGTCCAAAACCACCACCGCCGATACGTGGACACCATCATCGTCACCGGCGCGGTCAGCATCGGCACCGTCATTGGCCTTGCCGTCGTCAACATCACCATCGTCACCAGCACTGCTACTTCATCACCGCGCCGGCCGTCGTCGACGTCGCCACGATACCACGCCAGCCCGAGTCACCGAATCGCAGCGGAGCGAGCCGCGCGTCAGCGCGGCCTGCGAGACGCGTTGGGAAGTCACCAGCGGTCAGCGCCACCGCTGCCGCGTCGGTCGCGCCAAACCAGCTGGCCGCTCTGCGCGCGAGCTTGCGCGCGTTCGCACGGCCACAGCGATGCCCCTGCCAGCGCGGAGCAGTCATCTCAATCGCCACCGCATTGGTTTTGCAGACAAAGTTGCGGGTGGGCATTTGGGATGATTGCGCGAGCAGTGGACTAGACAACTCAAGACTCTTCAAAAACAAACGCGCCACATCGATTGCACCACGTAGCTTGCGCAACGTATATTGCACAACAGAAAGTGCACGACATCTGTTCTCCTTCTGAAATGCATTCGGATCGACCGGCCCCCCCACACCCCCCCCCCCACCCCCCACCCACCCCCCCACGCCTCCGGACTTATCGGTCCGCCCAGGGAAAAAGCAATTTACTTATGACTACGCCCCATCGTTCATTCTGAATATGAACTCAAAGCCTCCCAACGAAACCACGTTCGACATCCGCCCCCACATCCTCGTCGCATGAAGCTACGCGCGCGCACTCGTTTGTCAAGGATCCGCAATGTCCAAAAATCTTTTTACAACGAAAAACGAAACAAACACCACGCGCGCGGGGCGTCGCGCGCGCATGCCGGAATCCTACAAGAAACAACTCGAAAATGTAGAGGCTGCAAAATCGAAAGCCCCGGAAAAAAAAACAACGACAAAAAAAACGGGTTCACAACCCGCAACCAGATTGGTTCCGCAGCATGACGCTTCAACCCAAAATCTGCGCGCGCGCCCCCCCGAATTCGCACGACACAAAGACATAAGCGTTTCAACGCTATCGTCAAATTTAACCACGTGGCCCTCCTGCGCGTGCATGTCGAGATCATTCGAACGCCCTTGCGCGCGTGCTGGGGGGGGAAGGGGGGGGGGGGGCGATCCATGACAAACAATACCGCGCGGGCCGATCGCGCCCATCGGCCGCGCGCGCGTGTCGAAATCCATCCAAAACCCTCATTGCTGATACGTGGACACCATCATCGTCGTCGGCGAGGTCAGCATCGGCGACGTCTTTAGCCGCGCCGTCGTCATCGTCATTGTCGCCACCAGTATCGCTACCACTATCATCGTGTCTGCCAGTGTCGACGTCGCCACGGCACCGTGCCAGCTCGAGGCACCGACTCGCACTGACGTGCCCGCGCGCCAGGAGGCGTGCAAGACGCGTTGTGAAGTGCCCAGCGGCCAGCGCCACCGACGCCGCGTCGGTCGCGCCAGACTAGCTGGTCGCTCTGCACGCGAGCCTGCGCGCGCAAGCGCGGCTGCGGCGATGCACCAGCCAGCGCCAAGCAGCCATCGCAAACGCCACCGCATGAGTTTTGCAAACAAGTTGCGGGTGGGTGGGCGGGATGCTTGCAAGAGCATGGGAGGTGGTCACGCGCGGACAGGCTAGTTCATTCTCCTTTCTTAAAAAAAGAATAGACTCTACGCTCCCCCCCCCCGGACTTATCGGGTCCCCCTGGGATAGTACGATTTCATATATATATATATATATATATATATATATATATATATATATATATCTGCATACTCGCCCATCCTAAATATGAAACAATATCATCCCAGCAAGGCCGGTTTCTCCTCCCTGAGGTTCCCTTGTAAAAAACCACTATGCGGTGACATGGTTTGCTCCAACATAGCACTTTTTCGCAAATCCCTTGCAAAAAACGGCACGAAGTGCACACGCGCGCGTCGTCGCGCGCGCATGCCGAAATCCTTCAAAAACCTTCGGTGCGGGAAGGATTTCGCAATCGAGTTTCAAAAAAAAACATACAAAAACACAAGGTTTCGCAACACAGAGTTGCTAAAAAAGCTTCCGCGAAAGCTCTTGCGAAATCTTAAGAAAACCATAGGTTTTTCAAGATTTTCACAAAACGCTACCGAACGGGCTTCGCGCGCGCTCATGTCGAAATCTGTCGAACGCCCTTGCGCGTGTGCCGTCGCGAGAATCCCCTGCAAAAAAATAGGACGAAGTGCAGGCGCGCGCGTCGTCGCGCGCGTATGCCGAAAACCCTCAAAACCCATCGGTTTCGGAAGGATTTCAAAATCGTGTCCAAAAAACCTACACAAAAACACAAGGTTTCGCAACACGGATTTTCAACAAAAGCGTGCGCGCGCGCTCTTGCGTCGTCGTCGTCATCGCCGTCCTCCCTCCTCTTGTCGCCGTTGTCGTCGCCTACATCGTCCTCTGTCTTTCCTCGTGTTCGTCGTCGTCGTCCTCTTTGGCGTCGTGGTCGTTTCCGTCGTCGTTGTCGCCGTGGTCCTCTTTCTCCTCCCTCGTCGTCGTCGTCGTCCGTCGTCGGCGTCTCGTCGTCGTCCCTCCTATTTCGTCGCCGTCGTCGTCGTCGTCGTTGTCGTCGTCGTCGTTGTCCCTCCTCCCTCGTCGTTGCCGTCGTCGGCGTCGCCGTCCTTCCTCCTTCTTCGTCGTGGGCGTCGTCGTCGTCCTCCCTCCTCCCTCGTCGTTGTCGTCGTTGTCGCCGTCGTCGTCCTCCATCCTTCCTCGTTGTCTTCGTTGGCGACGTCGTCGTCGTCTTCGTCGTCGTCGTCGGCGTCGGCGTCGTCGTCGTCTTCGTCATCGTCGACGTCGGCGTCGTCGTCGTCGCCGCCGTCGTCGTCGTCGTCGCCGCCGTCGTCGGCGTCGTTGACGTCGTCTTCGGTGTCGTCGTTATCGTCGTCGTCGGCGTCGTCGTCGTCGTCGTTGTCATCGTCGTCGTCGTCGGCGTCGGTGTCGTCGTCGTCGTCGTCGGTGTCGTCGTCGTCGTCGTTGTCGGCGTCGTCGAAGTCGTTGGGGACGTCGTCGGTGTCGTCGTAGTCGTTGTCGGCGGCGTCGTCGTTGTTGTCGCTATCGTCGTCGGCGTCGCTGTTGTTGCCAAGTGCCGTGTGGTACCCACCGTCACGGTCTTCAGAGATTTTGCAGACCAAATTGCGGGTGGGTGGGATGTTTGCGCGAGCAGTGGAATTGACATCTCACTGCGAACAGAAATTAATTGCACCACATAGATTCTCCTTTCTTGATTCCCCCCCCCCCGGGATTATCGGTACCCCTTCGCATATTGCAATTTACACATGAACCTGCCCCATCGTCCATCCTAGATATGAACTCGCACCATCCCAGGGGGGGTCTGTAGCCCCCCCGCCATCGCTTGCACAAAATACTATGCGCGCGCACTCGTTTATCACAAATCACCAGGGTTCAAAAGCCGCTTACAGAAATAGGACGCAGTGCGCACGCGCGCGTCGTCGCGCGCATGCCGAAATCCTTCAAAAACGGTCGGGTCCGTGAAACAAATAATCAGAACCGAGTGTCAAAATAACATATAAAAACGCCAAGATGTCGCAACGCGGATTTTCAACAACAACAACAAAAACTTGCACGCGCGCTCTTGCGAATTCTCCAGGAAACTATGCGTTTTCACATTTCTTCAAAAAATGTTACCAGACGGGTTTCGCGCGCGCATATGTCGAAATCGTTCGAACGCCCTTGCGCGCGCGCCGTCGCGAGGACCACTTGCAAAAAAATAAAGCACACGCGCGCGCGTGGTCGCGCACGTATGCCGACATCCGTCAAAAACCTGCGGTTTCGTTGCGATGTCACAACCGAATGTCCAAAAAACATTGGAACAGACACGGTGTCGCAAGATCAGTTTTCAAAAAAAAAACCGTGCGCTCGCGCTCACGGTAGTTCTGAAGGAAACCATAGGTTTCTCAACATGTTCACCTAATTCTGCCACAGGGCCTCCTGCCGCCGCACGCCGACATCATTCGTACGCCCTTGCGCGCGCTGGGGAGGGGGCACGATCCGTGTCAAATAACACAATGCGGGCCACTCTCGCGCGTCGGCCGCGCGCGCGCATGTCGAACTCCTTCCAAAACCCTCATCACCGACGCGAGGACGCCATCATCGTCGCCGGCGTGATCAGCATCGGTGCCCGCACTGGCCGCACCGTCGTCCTTTTCAACATCGTCACCAGCATCGCTACTATCGTCATCGTGTCTACCGTTGTCGATGTCGCCATGATACCGCGCCCGCCCAAGTCGCCGACTCGCACTGAACTGTCCGCTGGGATGTGCCCAGCGGTCAACGCCACTGCGGCCGCGTCGGTCGCTCCAAACTAGCTGGCCGCTGCGCGGGCGTGTTTGGGTTGGCGCGGCCGCAAGGATGGACCAGCCAACGTCAAGCAGCCATCGCAATCGTCACCGCATGGGTTTTGCAAACCAAGTTGCGGGTGGGTGGGTGGGATGTTTGCAAGAGCATAGGATGTGTCAACCCCTTTGTAAACAAAAAAAAAAAATCCATGGCACCACATAGAATGTTCCACATGGATTGCACAACATGGATTTCTAGAAACGAACTGTTTGGGGCCCACGCTGGCCGACATGGGCATCCGTCTAAAATCATGGGCGGGAAAATTGCAGACACTTGAGGCGATACTTTCGGTTAAAAACCACGCACGGCATGGTGAAAGCTGGCTGCAGTATGCTCATAACCAATGCGCCAACCATCCTGATGATCAACGAATGACCTACCAATGCGCCTACCAACTGCTGGCTGTCATCAGTGACTGACCGTATTGCGCTTACCATCCTGATCATTGCGACTCGAACATTCCCTCTGGAGGCATAAAAACAAAGACGAGATGCGCAGGAAGCAGCATAGGCAACGACGTGTATGAATACCAGGCAGCGCAGAGAGCCTAAGGATGCTTCGAAACCTTACAGAGAAAGTCTGGCGAGGGGTCCAGAGTTTGCATGAACGCATACACGCCAATCCCACCAGCCCTCTGGGCGTCGGTGGTTTAGAGCGTTTCCTCTTCCACCCCTCCTTCTTCCCCTTCGGGGAGGGGTTTACCCCTCCCCCTACCCCCTCCCCACTGACCTGGACAGGGGGGGCCGCGGGTAGTTAGAGCGTCCAAGAACGACCCCTGGGAGGGCTAAAATTCGACACCCCTCACGAGGATCGTGCCCCCCAGGGGGGCGACGCTAAAAAATGCTTCCCCCTTCTGCGATCGATGTCCTCCAAGAGGGCCTCAAGAGACGTCTCGGACTCTCCTCTTGCGCCCTGCGCGCGGGCGGGCGGAGCGCCGCCCGCCCGCCCGCGAGGCCCAAGAGCCCACCAAAACGTTCGAAGATACCTCCAAGACGCCACCAGGGAAGAGGAAGAGGCGGAGGAGGAGGAGGAGGAGGAGGAGGAGGAGGAGGAGGAGGAGGAGGAGGCGGAGGAGAAGGAGGAAGAGGGGGAGGAGAACAGCTGCCGATCATCGGCGCTCTTCGTTCGAGTGCCTGGTGTAGGATGGGCTGGTGGGGATACGCGAAGCGTCAAGAATTCAATCATCACAGCTGCAAGCAAAGCCACAAGACCACTTTTCATCGCGGGCTTTGTCGGGACCCACCGTGTCGCGTGTGATTGCCCCTTCAGGCCACCATCGGTGCAGTGCCTTCTGCAAGCGGAGCCATAGATCATCGTGCGCGCGACTGGTGACTGTCAGACGGCGCCCTCAGTCTCCGCCCGTGGGCCTGGATTGAGGCCCAGCTCCGTGCAGGAGGCAACCTGACGCTGCACGGGCTGAGTATCGCACTCTCGGATGCGCCCGAGCAGCGCCTCCACGCCTCTGGCGCTGGCCCTCGGCCGGATGGCCGGCGTCAAGCCTAGGCGGCCGCCCTTGGTGGGCAGCACAAGGCGCAGCTGCCACCTGGAGCCGAGCAGGTCCTGCAGGTTGTCCCGCCACGCCAGCTTGTAGAAGCCAGGCCCCAGGGGGCAGTACACCTGAGGGCAGCTTCTGCAGATGCATTCCTCCAGGAATCGGCGGGGGGAGGCAGGGGCGCGGGCGACTGAGCTCCTCAGGAACTGGTGGGGGGAGGCATGCGCGCGTACACCCAACGCCTATCCCATGAGTTCTTACTCGCTGTTGCAAAACACATTGGGAGTGTGCCTGTGATCATGCCTACGCGCACGCGTGCGCGAGAGCGTTATGCATAGTCGTATGCGTATGCGTGTGCGCACGTTGATAACAGTGCCCATGCAGAAGCCTATGTTTGCTTCCGCTTCTGCGGGTGCACATGATTGCGGGCATGGCTGAGCTTATGAGCATGCCCATGTCAATAAATCATGTGCAGGCGTGCATGTAAATTGACACGAGCGCTCATGACTACTACGCTTGTTGTGGTGGGCGCATGCTTGCGCGAATACATCTGCGTACGCGTGCGCGTGTGATAATACCCATGCATGTGCAGATGGTTACGCGTGTGCGTGTGCGTCTGCGTACGCTGCTGACTTGTCAAAGGGCATCTGCACGTGAGCATGCATAATATCACGCGCACGCGTACATGATGCCGTCGCTCGCGCTCACGCTACGTGCGCTTCCGCTCCTGCTCACGCGCACGCCGAGACTCACGCCTCCGTGCGCAAATGCACATCCAACGGCAAGGCTGTGCTCATTACGCAGACGACCACAACCGTGAGTGTGATGACTACGCGTGCGCACTTCTGTATTGGTGATCCGTACTGCCCTCCATACCAAATAGGCTGGTATACGATAGCCCACCCCTTTGTCATCTGATTACGTCCCCGGTAGTGAACCTGAGGCTTGATTTCCACATACTCCTTCATTGGGAACTGAATCTCCAGGGTCGTCGCATTTGTGAATGCGCCGTGCATGGCGTTCGCACCGCACATGATCACCAGAATAAGCCCAATGAAAGAAAAAACAAGCTGCAGCGCGACTTCCAGCGTCGACGATCCGAGCATGTGCAAGACGACGAAACGGACGATGAACGAGGAGATACCCGTAACGAGCTGGGGGCTCGTGAGGTAGCTCTTCTGTAGCAAGTGCCGCCACGAATTCACATCTGGCTCCGGATTCTTGATCGTGAAGATCACGGACAAGCACATGAGCATCGAGTAGGTGAGACCCACCTCGATCGAAGTCTGAACGGTGAGTAGGGATGGGAAGACTGCCGATAACCCCTGGGTCCATGTCAAGGCTTTGATCAAAGGGGGGAAACAGGATGGGTCGCAAAAGAAGCCGCAGCTCATCTGTGCTTACTGACCACGGTGGCTTCCCCTAGCCCCTCTCCGAAATCCGGCCATGGTTGCCGACCCCCCCTTGGAAGTCGCAGGAGGAGGAGGAGGAGGAGGAGGAGCACCAGTAGCAGCAGCCTGGAAGTAATGAAATGAGGAAAGTGCTGCCACCGTGGCAAAGAACCAGAAAAGGACGAAGAACCCGTGGTTGCGGATGCCAATGCAGTTCCCTGTGAAGGGACAGTGGTGATCCATTCGGAGCACGCACTTCGCGCAGATGCTACAGTGGTGTGAGCGAGGCGGCTTCCAATACTGGCAGCGCTCGCAGTAGTTGGGCGCGTACATCAGCTGCATAGGCTTGGCCTGGCTCCCACTAAATGATCCCTTTCCCATCTGAAGGCGAATAATCTCCCCTGCTTAGTTCTCCAGTAACTCTCCAAGACATACCACCTCCTGGATTAAATGAACCTGGCGCGACCCCAATTTGGGGAAAGCTTCCTAGCGCATGGGCGCAGTGCTTGGCATTGCGTGGCATTGCTTGGCATTGATTGGCAATGATTGGCATTACTTGGGGGAACCCAGGAAGCCCGGGAAAACTCCAGGCAACGTAAGAATCGGAGGCACCGGCGGGGGGGAACCTGGGAAACCCGGGGAACCTCCGGGCAACGGGCAAAGTAAGCCCCCGAGGCACCAACAGTTAACCAAGTAGGAACCCTTAGACAAGCCAAATCGGAGAACCAAGTAAGAACCCCGTAGGCAAGCCTAATTGGGGAAAGTGTGGATCGGCAATTGAGGAAGTAATCGCTCCCTGACTAATCGCTCGGTCGGCCCTGGAACTTCGACCATCGATCGATCCTCGATCCTCGATCCTGGAACTCCGACCCTCCATCGATCCTCGATCCTCCTTTTTCGAACGACCCTGAGGACCCAGGATCAATCGCAGACGGCGGCTCCTGGATCATCCAGGATCGAGGCTCGATCGAAAGTGGAAAAGCCGAAGCCCACCAGGAATCGAAGATGCAGGATCGAGCACGCAGGAACGATCGCGAACAGCACATCCAAGATCGACCGCACGCCAAAAATTCTGCATCCAGGGCTGGTCGAAGATCAGTCATCCAGCGTCGTCCGAATATCGGATCGATCGAAGATTTATGTCGGGCGTGTCCCCCTGCAGGGGGATTTTCGACGAAAAATAAGACATACCCCAAACGTGCTCCAAAAAGGTCAAAAGATACTCAAAAAAAGAATCCCCAGCCTATTTTTGGATTATGTTTTGACTATTTTGGGGGGTACTTGTTGTTTGTCGTCGAAAATCCCCCTGTAGGGGGACAGGCCCGACTTACGGCAGGTTCGTGTCGTGCCGACCCCAGCGTTGGTTTTTGACACCGCAGGGATCGTTCAACCTTGAACGATCGGCCGCTGCCGCAACGTCCGATCGTTCAACGTCGATCGATTCTGGGTCGCCGGCGGCGTTCAACCTTGAACGCCCGCGCTGGGGTCGCCGCTGGTCGACACGACGCAAACCTACCGTAATCGAAGATCGACCGGTCCAGCCTCGGCGTCCGAGCCCGAGGTCGAGGTGCCGGGATCGAGCGAGGCTCGAGGGCAGAGGGCCGCAGCCCGAGGGTCGAGGAGGCCGGGCGAGAGAGAGCCCGCACGCCGAGGTGTTCCGGGCGCCGATGTTTTCGTCGTCTGCATCCGTCGTCATCTTCAGGTACACCCTGCGAAATGCTTAAGAAATCATGGGTTAAGAATTTCATAGTCTCAGAATTTGAATAAAAACCCAGAATTTCTATTTAAATCTTGGGATTTACATTGAAACGTTAAGAATAATCGAGACTCTGGCCGAAAACTTAGGTTTTCTTAAGCATCGCCTTAGGTGTATGGCGTTTTTTTCACGCCTGCGTGCTTCGAGTGCCTCGTGTGGCGTTGGGCCACACCTCCGTGCTTCGAGCGCTTTTCGAGTGGCCTCTGGTCACCGCTGTATTTTTCCTGCCGACGCGTCCACCTGGACCCAAGGCTTCTCTCTGTCTGTCTGTCTGTCGGGGCCGGTCGGAGGTCGCAGGCTCGGGGTCGAACGTCGAGGATCGAGGACACGAGAGGGTCGAGCGTCGAGGATCGAGGGTACGAGAGGGCCGATCGGAGGTCGCAGGCTCGGGGTCGAACGTCGAGGATCGAGGACACGAGAGGGTCGAACGTCGAGGATCGAGGGTACAAGAGGGCCGATCGGAGGTCGGAGGCTCGGTTTCGAAGCGGAATCGACGGTGTGCCATCGAGGATACGAGATCGAAGATCCGTGGCCGATCGAAGACCACAGGTCCAGGACAGATCGACAGTCCGGGGCTGCAGAATCAAGAGCCCATGGACGATCGATGATCTGGTCTCGATCGAGAGTCCAAGAACCAGGGCAGATCGTGGAGCCTCGACCGTCGAACACTCATCGATCCTCGAGCGTCCAGCCTCCGTCTTCGAACGGCCCTGGACCCCCGAACACGAATCTCGATTTCCGAACCCTGGTCCGATCCAGGGTCTGGGGTCCGTTCAAGATCCAAGAGTCTGATCTTCGATCCCTGATCTTGGATTCCCGATCTTCGAACGTCCCTGAAGCCTCGCTCCTCGATCGGTCGTGGCCCAGAGAACGCAACGCATGACCCGAAATGGGCTTCCAGGTGGCCCGAAGACGGCTCCAAGGCGACCCCGCAGACCGAATGGACGATCACCGCTTGGGGCGTAGCTCGGACGTGCTCGGAAGAGCGACAGCTGAGGAATCTGGCTTGCCTGGACAGCGCACAATGAGAGGCACGTAGAATGTCTGACGGCAGAATTTGGCAGGAATGAGACAACGGAATCCGTTGCGGCGGGACGTTGGCGCAGGCGCGAGGTGAACGCGGAGGAAGTCTCGCGCGAAATCGCAGCTCTCTGGCGGCGAGAGATGCGGCAACTAATGCGGTTGTGAGGATGTCCCAGGCGAAATCAACATTTTCTGCCCGCGCATGCACGGTTCACAAGCATGGTTGTGAGGAAGTCTCAAGCGAAATCGCTGTCATCTGGCGGCTGGAAATGGAACCGGAGAAATTTCTGTGAGGAAGTCCTAGGCGGAATCGCGACTCTCTGGCTGCAAAAACAAATTCTCCGGTTGGTCGGGGAGGCAACCGAGGAGTATTTTCGGAGGAGGTCCGCCGGCCCCCTTGTGGGGCCACCAGGCTGTAGGACGAAGTTGCTGCTCCCTGCGCCAGTTGCAGGTTCAAGTCTCCAATGTTACAGTCCTGCTTTCTGCTTCCGACTATAACTTGTTTAAGCCCGCGCGAGAGGGGGGAGCCCCAAACCGCCCAGTTACCACCCCCAGATCGCGTTTCCTGAATACCTGGGGCGGCGGGGGACACCTAAAAATACATGAGATTCGCGCCCCCGAGGCCATAACCCCGCGTAAATTACACAATGTTCGCGTCCCCGAGGCCACTAACCTTCGTAAAGTGTACACTTGTTGCGTCCCCGAGGCGACAAGCCCTAGTCAATTACACAATCTTAGCGTCCCCGAAGCCAAAAAATCCTTGTCAATGATACGATTTGCGCGTCCCCAACGCAACCAACCCATGCAAAGTACGCAATCCTAGCGTCCCCGAAACCATAAATCTTTGCAAATGACCCCGTATTCGCATTGCCGAGGCCAAGAGTGCTCCAAGGCGCCGAAGATGGTTCCAAGGCGGCCCAAGAGGGCCCAAAGAGGCCCCAAGAGCGCTCCAAGAGGCCTCCCGAGAGAGCCCCAAGAGGCCAAAATCGTGGATGTTACCTGGGTTGTTGAAGGATTTGGGCCTTCTCGCATTTTCGACTTTCGACGCCCCAAGACGGCTCAAGAAACTCCCAAGACCGCCACAAGACATCACAATACGCTTCCAAGAGGCCCCAAAACGGAAGTTGCGTTCAAAACGTCCCAAGAGGGTCCCAAGACGGCCCCAAGAGGGGCCCAAGCAGGGGACCACGAACCGAACGTTCGATTTTTACGCTCCGAGAAGCCCCCAGGAGGCCCCAAGAGGCCGCCAAGAGGCCCAAAGAGGCGCCCAAGATGCGCCTAAAAGATACCCCACGAGGCCCCAAGAGGCCCCCAAGACCTCCGAGAGGCCCCCGAGAGGCTCCCCACGACACCCGAACACATACACAAGAGGCCTCAGACCCACAACCCCGGCACGTTGGCGGAATAGGCCGAAGGCCACTAGGATCCGCCGCCCCCTTTTGATCTATCAAAGGGGTGCCTGGCGTGCCAGACTATATGGCTTTTGGTTTTGGCTCTTTTTCCAAAAGCACTCCCCCATGGGGCTTCGGCCCGTCCCGCCCGCCACCCGGAAGACCCGGTTGCCAGCGGTGTTCCTGCCCCAGACGGCCCCAAGATGGCCTCCAAGACGACCAAGATGCCTCCAAGACGGCCAAGATGGCCTCCAAGACGGCTCAGGTGGCCCCAAGATGCCTCCAAGACGGCCCAAGGTGTACCCTAGACGGCCTAAGATAGCCTGAAGATGGCCCACGACGGTCCAAGAGGCCCCCACGAGGCCTCCAAGACGGCCCAAGAGGCCAACAAGAGGTCCTCAGGGAAGGCCCGAAGAGGCCAAAATCCTTGATGTTCCCTAGGTGTTTGAAGGATTTTGGCATTTGCTTCTTCTCGGCATTCCGACGGCCCCAGACGGCCCAAGAGGCTCCCAAGATCGCCCACGAGATCGCCCACGAGGTCTCCAAGATGGCCCCATGACGGCTCAAGAGGCCCCCAAGACGGCCCCAAGAGGGCCCCAAGGGGCCTCCAAGACGGCCAAGATGGCCTCCAAGACGGCCAAGAAAGCCCAAAATGGCCTCCAAGATGGTCCAAGATGGCCTCCAAGTCCGCCCAACAGAGGAGGAGATGCCTCCAAGTCCGCCCAAGAAAGGATGGTCCAAGATGGTCCAAGATGGTCCAAGATGGTCCAAGATGGCCCAAGAGGTGCCCAAGAGGTGCCCAAGAGGCCTCCAAGACGGCCCAGGACGGCCCAAGAGGTGCCCAAGAGGCCTCCAAGACGGCCCAGGAGGCCTCCGAGAGGTCCTCCAGGAGGGCCCGAAGATGACGAAATCATTGATTTGCCTTAGGTTTTCGAAGGATGTTCGTATTTGCTCCTTTTCGGTTTTCCAACGACCCAAGACGGCCAAAGAGGCCCCCAAGATCGCCCCCACAGCGCCCAAGAGGCCTCCAAGATGGCCTCAGGACTGCCCCAGAGGCACCCAAGACGGCCCCAAGAGGGCACACAGACGACCCAAGAGGCCTCCAAGACGCCCAAGATGGCCTCTAAGACGGCCCTGGAGCACCCCAAGAGGGCCCCAAGTCGGCCCAGAGAGGCCCCCCAAACGGCTTCCGACGGCGTCAGACGGGCCAGGAGCCCACCAAGATGGCCGAAGTTGGCTCGAAGCTGGCCCAAGACGGCCCAAGAGGCCTCCAAGAGTGCCTCCAGGAAGGCAAAATGTTCGGCCATCCGAAAGCCCAAAACGGCCCAAGAGCCCCCAAAGATCGGCCAAAGATCTCCCAAGAGGCCTCCAAGATGGCCCCAGAACGACCCAAGAGGCCCCCAAGACAACCCAGGAGGCCTTTAAGACGCCCAAGATAGCCTCCAAGACGGCCCTGGAGCATTCCAAGAGGTCCCCAAGTCGGCCCAGAGGGGCCCCCCAAACGGCTTCCGACGGCGTCGGACGGCCCAGGAGTCCACCAAAACGACCGACGATGGCCCTAAGATGGCCCAAGTCGGCCCAAGAGGCTTCCAAGAGGGCCTCCAGGAAGGGCCGAAAAAGTCAAAATCACCGATTGCCCATGAGCTTTGGAAGGATTGTGGCATTTGTTTTGTGTCTGCCTTCCGACGGTCCAAGACGGCCCAAGAGCCCCCAAAGATCGCCCAAGAGGCCCAAGACGGCCTCAAGAGGCCCCCAAGACGGCCCAAAACCAAGACGCTCAAGATGGCCTCCAAGACGGCCCAAGAGCCCTCCAAGACGTCCTCCAAGAAGGCCCGAAAGGGTCAAAATGGCCTCCAGGCGGCCAAGATGACTTTCAAGATGCCCACGTGTTACCCGAAGGCTCCCCAAACCGATTCGGGGAACACATGGTCCGATAGCTTGGCAGGTCTGGCCTCAACGTTCGGCCACCTAGGCGCTTCCAAAAAGGCAGGGGGCGGCGGTGATTCGCCGTAGGCGTCTTAGATCCGCCGCCCCCTGTCGATTAATCGCAGGGGTGCCTGGCGTTCTAAACCCTCTCGGTTTTGGTTTTGGTTCTTTTCCAAAAGAACTCACCCTTGGGCTTCGGCCCGTCCCGCCGGGGCCCCCGCAAGACCCATAGGACGCCCACGCCATCGCCCAATTCCCACATGTTCCTCCAAGACGGCTCAAGATGGTCTCCAAGATGGCCACGTTGGCCCAAGATGGCATCCAGGATGGTCCAAGATGGCATCCGAGGCCGCCCAAGATGGTCCAAGACGGCCTCCCATACGGCCCAAGAGAGTCCAAGACGGCCGAAGACGGCCCCCCAGAGGCCTCCAAGACGGCCCAAGAGGCCTCCAAGAGGTCCTCCAGGAGGGCCCGAAGATGCCAAAATCATTGATGTTCCTTGGGTTTCTGAAGGATTTTCGCATTCGCTTCTTCTCGGCTTCCCGACGACCCAAGACGGCCAAAGAGGCCCCCAAGATCGCCCCCACAGCGCCCAAGAGGCCTCCAAGATGCCCCAGAACGGCCCAAGAGGCCCCCAACGCGGCCCCAAGAGGCCCCCAAGACAGCCCAGGAGGCGCTTAAGACGCCCAAGATGGCCTCCAAGACGGCCCTGGAGCATTCCAAGAGGGCTCCAAGTCGGCTCAGAGAGGCCCCCCAAACGGCTTCCGACGGCGTCGGACGGGCCAGGGGCCCACCAAGACGGCCGAAGATGGCACTAAGATGGCCCAAGACGGCCCAAGAGGCCTCCAAGAGGGCCTCCAGGAAGGCCTGAAAAGACCAAAAGCATAGATTTCCCATTAGTTGTTGAAGGATTGTGGCATTTGCTCTTCTTCGGCCTTCCGACAGCCCGAGACGGCCCAAGTGCCCCCAAAGATCGCGACGGCCGCAGAGGCCTCCAAGACGCTCAAAATGGCCTCCAAAACGGTCCAAGAGCCCTCCAAGACGTCCTCCAAAAAGGCTCGAAAGTTTCGAAAGAGTCAAAATGGCCTCCAGGCGGCCAAGATGACCTTCAAGATGCCCACGTGTTCCCCAAAGGCGGCAGAAGCCTTGCCTCGGGTTCCCCACGAAAAACTCATGAAGCGTTTCTCGTGCCAATCGCGTATCTCGGCTCTGCGGAGCCTGAACAAAGCACGGTCCGTGACATGCAACAAGGCGATTGGTCGAAAACCACCCGTGCGTTTAGCCAAAAAGAAAACGTTGGACCACATACAGGGCCATTCAAGACGCTGTTCGATCAGATGTCGTATGTAGGAGGTCGCAGAGGGTACTGAGCCCTTCGTCTCCCAAGAAAAGCACTTGACGCGGATGCACGCAATCATAACCTAAGCCAGTGGTAGGCTTAACAATTTTTAGCGCAGACCGTACTTGCTCGATGGTGGGCGTCGGAGGAACATCGAGGAGGGAGATATAGCAAACACTCCAGGGGAAGGTGAGGCTCCGAAACACACCACCAGGCTTCCCACTCGGTTCGAAGTTGTTCAACCTGCTCAGCCGATCCCAGGGGGATGAAATCCGTGCAGGCTTCGTCTGGGGTCCAGCCGATCGGAACCTTTAACAAACTGTAGAGCGCCGAGGCTCCTTGCAAAGTGCTGTGCTTGACTACCCAGTCTTCCCATCCCCGCTCACGCTCTCTCTGGCTGAGGACCACAAGCTGCTCGGCCTGCTGCTGCGCAAACCGCTTCAGCAGCCGTAGCTGAGCGGGGTGCAGAGGGAGACTGGCACGCACAAGCGACGCAAACTGCACAGCGTCGGCCTCCTCCTCCTCCTCTTCTTCCTCCTCCTCCTTCTCCTCTTCCTCCTCCTCCTCCTCATCTCCTCCTCCTCCTGCTCCTCGAACTCCTCCTCCTCCTCCTCCTCCTCATCATCATTCATTCATCATCATCCATCCCTAGTCCTCCTCCTCCTCCTCCTCCTCCTCCTCCTCCTCCTCCTCCTCCTCCTCCTCCTCCTCCTCATCCTCCTCCTTTTCCTGGCACATCCTCCCCGCATGCCTCCGCCGATGCCCTCTCGCCGAGGCTGCAGTCCAGCTCGAACTGCCCGGTCACCTCGAAGACTGGCTTCGCAAGCCTTGAGCTGCCCGGCTCCGTCCTCGCCAGCAGGCGGCGGGTTCGCTCCGCCGCTCCTCCGCTCCGCCATCCGCGCGGCCAAAGGGGGAGGGCGCCTGGCCCGGGTCTCGAAGGGCTAGAGGCTAGCCGCGCGGCTGGTGCCGCGCAGCTGGGACGACTGCCGTGGTGTCTGCAATGGTGAGGGGGCGTACTCCTCCCTGCTCCGCCTCCTCCTCCAACTCCTCCGCTTCGCCCACCCCATCTTCTTTTTGAACCTGATCGGAAAAGAACGGGAAGCGACGTTCTCGACGCGAGGCTACGATGCTCTGTGCCAGACCATGCCTCGCGCTCACTCTCGGGATCATGGCCCTGTTCGACATCCGACTCTGCGAATAGAGAAGAGATCTACGTACGGAATGGTAAGGGATGGGAGGTAAGGGTGGGAAGTCAGGTATGACGCTTGCGCACCTAGTCTGTCCTCTCCTCTCGCGCCTCCCCTCCTCGTCTTTCTTCCTCCCCTCTCCCTCCTCTCCTCTCCTGCCTCCCCTCCCTCCTCCAATCCCTCCCCTCCCCTCCTCTCCCTCCCATACTGTCCTCCTTCCTGTTCCCTCCTCCCCTCCTCCTCCTCCTTTCCTTCCTCCCTCCCGTCCCATCCTCCTCGGCGCTGTGGGCAGCCTACGAGCTGCCAGCTGCTCGTAGATTGAGCGAGTGAGCGAATGGGGAAACAGGTCCAGGTCGCACTGCCTCGCGATTCGCGCTGCGTGGAGTGCCACCACCTTCGCTCCGTGCTCTCGCGCCGCGCCCGGGAGGGGAACAACCCTCCCCGTCCCAGTTCCGTTGGATTCCCGCGTCCACTGGGTCATGGCGAAGTTGTACAAGAACTGCACAGACACCCACACCGCGAAGGCGTAGTGGAACAGGCGGGCTGCCAGGCCGAGGCCCAGGTGGTCCTGAGAGGGGGCCTGGCCCCGAGCGCAAGTGGTGTGGAGGGGGGTGGCTGGGGGGGGAACGAGGAAGAGGAGGAGGAGGAGGAGGAGGAGGAGGAAGAGGAGGAGGAGGAGGAGGGGCCAGCGGTGAGGGGGGGGAGGGCGGGACAGACGGGAACAGAAGGGAAGGTGCAGAGAGGGACAGAAGGGCGGAGGAGAAGGAGGAGGACGACGAAGAAGAGGAGCAGGAGAACGACGAGAACGTGGAGGAGGAGGAGGAGGAGGGGCAAGAGAACGACGACGGGCGGACTACGACGACGACGACGACGACGACGACGACGACGACGACGACGACGACGACCGTGACCGTGACGAGGGCCCTCCCAAGTCGACGTCGCCGTCCACTCGTCGTCGTCCCCCTGCTTATCCTCTTCCACCTCCTCCTCCTCCTCCTCCTCCTCCTCCTCCTCCTCCTCCGCCTGCACTCTTCTGTCACTCCCTGCCCCCTCTCTTCTGGCCCCCTATCTGCCCCTCCTTGCCCCATCCCCTCCCGAGGACCCCCCAAATGCAGAGAGTCTGGGCCGAGCACGGCACGGCCGAAGTCTTCTGCCGCAGGGAGCCTCAAGGGACGAGAAAGCGAAGCCCCACGTTGGGCCAAAGGCCAGCGGCGCACGAAAAAGGGACGCGGAGGACCGCGGTTCCGAGGATCGGGGTCCTCCTCGAAGCTCGAAGCTACGGGCAGATGCGCGCTATAGCGGGCCGGTGCCCTCGCAGCCCTCGCCCCGCAATCCGCGGGGGGGGACGCAGATCAGAATCAAGAGGTAAGATAAGTAAGAAGGCGGACAACGGATAAGATGGCCATGCAAAATGATACCGGAGAAAAACCCCAATCAGGGCTATAGGGCTATTGAGCTATAGGGCTATAGAGATGTAGGGCTAGAGGGCTGTTGGGCTATTGGGCTATAGGGCTATAGGGCACCCCCGGGCACCCCCGGGCACCCCCGGGCCCGCCCGGGCACGCCCGGGCACGCCCGGGCACGCCCGGGCACGCCCGGGCACCCGGGCACCCGGGCACCCGGGCACCCCCGGGCACCCGGGCGTGCGGCGAAAATCGGCGGCAATAAAAAAAAAAAACCTTAAAAAAAAAAAAAAAAAAAACCTAAACATATGAATCGCTTGGGACCCCTACAGAGGCAAGCTCTGATTGGGAATATATGTGCCTGATTGCAAGGGAGGTCGGATATCTCCTCCTAATTCTCCTTCCTCCTTCCTCCTCCTCCCCTCCTCCTCCTCTCAATCCATCTCCTCCTCCTCCTCCTCCTCCTCCTCCTCCTCCTCCTCCTCCTCCTCCTCATCCATCTCCTCCTCCTCCTTCTCCTCCTCCTCCTCCTCAATCCCTTCGCCCTTTCAATGACTCCTCCCCGTCGCGCCCCGGGGGCGTGCCGGCAGGGCGGGCCGGGCGTGTCGCCAGAGGCCTCCTGGCCACTCAGGATCCCGAGGGCTGGAACTTGCTGCCGCTGCACGAGTGTTGGGCGGGTGGTCTTCAACATGCGGCTCTCGCCTTCGCGCCGCGCACATTCGGTTCCAAACAGTGCAAGAGCTTCACGGATTGAGGGCGGGTCGTTTTCAAGGAGGAGGAGGAGGAGGAGGAGCAGGAGGAGGAGCAGCAGGAGGAGGAGCAGAAGGAGGAGGAGGAGGAGGAGGAGCAGGAGGAGCGGGTGGTCTGCAACATGTGGCTCTCGCCTGCGCCGCTCGCGCTCGTCTGGCGCACACTCGTCCTGAGAGATGAGACAGCTTCGCGGCTGGAGGGCGGGTCGTTTTCAACCTGCGGCTCTCGCCTCAGCGCCGCGCGCGTTCGTTCGGAACGCTTGCCGCGGATGGAGGGCGGGTCGTTTTCAAAAGGTGGTGTTCGACTTAGCGCCGCGCATATTCGCCATAAAAGTTCGCAACAATTCCAAAGATGGAGACATATTCCTTTTCAAAATGTGGCTCTCGCCTTAGCACCACGCACATTCGTTGTGAAGGCTTGCATCAGTTTCAGAGATTCGTTTGGTCGAAGTTCCAGGAACGGCATTCTGGCACAATTTCAGGTTGTGAGGACTCAGCAGTCACGTCGATTCCTGGCGTGAGTCCCAGGAGTGGTGTTCTGGCACGATGTAGGACGCAACAGTAAAGTTGTTCTGCGGCGTTGAAGTCCCAAGAAGTGTGTTGGCAGCATGGAAGACTCTCAAGCGGTGTCTTCTACATGGGCCACTTGCCGCAATGAAAAAAATGAGACCGGAGAAAAACCCAAATCAAACTCATTTTCCCCACATCCAAAGTGGGGTTCTTGTTTTCTCTGGACTCCTCGCGCAGGAACCTCACCTCACCTCCCACCCCTCCCCCCTTCCTTCACCATCATCATCATTAGCACCACTCATCGTCACGATTCATCATCATCATCATCACCACCACCATCATCATCATCATCATCATCATCATCATCATCATCATCATCATCATCATCATCATCATCATCATCATCATCATCATCATCATGATCATCAGTGTCACCATCATCATCACAATCATTCACACCCACACCATTATCATCCTCATCACCAACAACATCCTCATCATTCGATCAATCATCAGCATTATCATCATAATCCTTATCAACATCATCATCATTCGATCACTCCTCATCACCACCACTCATCATCATCAGCAGCATCATCCACATCACCATTCGCTCACTCATCACTTCGTTACCACTCACTCCCTAGCTTGAATATGGGGGACGTCTCGAGCGGGAGCCTCGTGTGTGAGTGGATCGCGGGGACGTCTCAGGCGGGAACCCTTCTCCTTATGGGGCCCGCACCACATCTTTATAATCCGAGCGGGCCAACGGGATCCTGTAACTGTCGTGACTTTTGGGTTCCTGAGGCCTGAATATGAGGGAAATATCAGGAGGAAGCCTCGTCTGTGAGCGAATTGCGAGAAAAAAATCTCAGGCGGGAGCCACCTCCCTATGGGGCCCGCACCTCATTTTTGTAATCCGAACGGGTCATCGGAACCATGTAACCGTCGTCACTTCTGGGGTGATGAAACCTAAATGTCTCAGGCGGGAACCTTCTCCCTATGGGGCCTGCACTTCATAGTTTAATCCGAGCGGGTCATCGGAAACCAGTAACTGCCGTCACTTTTGGGGTGCTGAGGCCTGAATATGGAGGAAATATAAGGCGGGAGCCTCGTCTGTAAGTGAAAGGCGAGGAAGTCTCAGGCGGGAGCCTCCTCCCTATGAGGCCCGCACCTTATCTTACTAATCCGAGGGGGGGGATATGGAGGAAGTATCCCGCGGGAGCCTCGTCTGTGAGCGAATCGCGAGGAAGCCTCAGGCGGGAAGTCCCTCCCTATGGGGTTCGCACTTTATGTTCGAATCCGAGGCAGTCATCGGCAACCTGTACTTTTCGTCACTTTTGGGTTCCTCAAGCTTGAATACTGAAGAAGTCTCAATCGGCAGCCTCGTCTGTGAGCGAATCGCGCGGAAGTCTCAGGCGGGAGCCTCCTCCCTATGGGGTTTGCAATTCATGTTCGAATCCGACGCGGGTCATCGGCAACCTGTAGCTGTCGTCACTGTTGGGCTCCTCAGGCTTGAATACTGAGGAAATCTCAATCGGGATCCTCGTCTGTGACTGAATTTCGAGGAAGTCGCAAGCGGGAATCCCCTCCCTATGGAGCCCGAACCTCACGTTGGTAATCCGAGCGGATCATCGGCAACCTGTAACTGTCGTCACTTTTGGGCTCTTCAACCTTGAGTTTGGAGGAAATCTCAGGCGGGAGACTCGTGTGTGAGTGAATTGAAAGGAAATCTCCGGCGGGAGCCTCCTCCCTACGGGGCCCGCACATAATGTTGGTAATCCGAACGGGCCATCGGCAACCTGTAATTGTCGTCACTTTTGGGCTCCTCAAGCTCCAGTATGGAGGAAATCTCAGGCGGGAGCCTTGTCTGTGAGCGAATTGCGAGGGCGTCTAAGGCGGGAGCCCCTTCTTTATGAGGCCCACACTTCACGTTGGTGATCCGAGCGGGCCATCGGCAACCTGAAACTGTCGTCACTTTTGGGCCAAAACTTCAGCCTCCAGCGGCCTGCGCGGCGACTCTCCGCCATGACGGGTCCGGCACCTCATGTTGGTAATCCGAGCGGGTCATCGGATTCCTGTAACTTTCGTCACCTTTTGGGCTCTTCAGTTCCTGCGGCCTTAATACGGGGGAAGGGCTCCTCAGCTCCTGCGACCAGAAAACGGGGGAGGCATCAGGCGAGAGCTTCGTCTGTGAGCGAAGTGCGGGTAGCCTCGTTTGAGCTGGTCGTCGGCAAATTTGTTGTTGTCATGGGCCTGCGTGCCCGAATAAGCGATTGAGGAGCTGACGACGACGACGACGACGACGACGACGACGACGACGTGACAGCGGCCGGGCGCAGGGGTAGCCCCTTGTGTCCGGGCCGGGGGTGCAGGACATGGTGGACGTGCTGAACTTCGCGCACCGCAAGCGTTTCACGAAGCTGGCCAAGGAGCTCCTCGCGCTCCCGTGCATGTCCGTGGCGGTCCGCGAAGACGTGGGCGCGCCCGCGAAAGCGGACGCCGCGACCGCTCCTGCGCCCGTGGCCGGGCACCGACCGCTGGTGATTGCGGCGCGCGAAGAAAGACACTCCTGGGCGAAGCTGCACGACGACCGCCTGCCGAGCTGGGCGACGAAGATGACGCGGGCGCCGACGACGGCGCGGACGAGGACACTGGCGGCCTGGGCGGCGCTCCCGCTGCGGCCAGCTTCGACGGCTGCGTGTACGCCACGCCCAGCGCGCACGTCGCCCACGTGGTCGCTGAATTGCCGGAGGACCAGAGACTCACGCGAGACCAGACGCTTTTCGTCGCCAAGTTCGCCAAGGCCTGCGACGAAGCCTGGGAGGACGACGTGCAGAAGAAGCCGCGGGTCGAGAGAAAAGTGACACTCATGCTCTTGCTGGGCAAAGGCGGCTCGGGGAAGACGCACGTGGTGCAGAAGATTTTCTTCCCAGTGGTGGAGTATTTGTGGCCCTCGCTGGCCCAGGACATGGCGAAGAGATCGAAGTGGTTGTGGGAGCACGTCCGCGCTCTGGCCATCGAGGAGGTGAGTACGGCGGCGGCAGCGCTCTACAACGCGCTGGACACTCGCGCGTGCCACGGACGAAGTGACACGCATGACGTGCAGGAGTCCACCTACAAGCGGCCGCACCACCACTTCGGGCGCGTCCCCATCGTGCTGCACCTCGGCGATGTCCTGCAGCTGAAGCCCACGGGCAGCATCGGCCTCCTGACGGACGTGAACGAGCTCCTGGACGACGGACGCACGTACAAGCACGCGGAACCGCCAACGGTGGAGGTTCAGCACGCCATCAAGGTCTTCTCTCAGATCCCCTGCGTCTTCGAGCTGCAGGGCACGAAGCGCTTCGAGCCCGGGGACCCTCTGATCACGTTCCTGGGCTGCACGCGCGAAAGCAAGCCCTTCCCACCGGATGTCTGGTCCGCCCGGGAGAAGACGCTGGCGTCGGACAGCCGCGGCGACCTGGACCCTCCTAAAATTTTCGGCTCGGCTACGGCATGGGCATTTACTGGGAGACGCTGGCGAAGTGGATCAACGCGCGCGCGCTCGTCGCGACGCGCGGCGCCTGGGCGTGCCCCTCGTTTTCTTGCAGGCCGTGAGCGAATGCAGCACGATTCAGGGCGATCCCGACGCGGGCCGGCGCCTCCTGAACGTCCCGAACATGCACAAGACGGGGGACATTCACGGCGTCTTGCCGGCCCACGTCGGCATGGAGGTGCGAGTCACGGCAGTGCAGGAAGAGC